TTGTGTCTCGTGGAATAATATTGGGTTATTAGAAACCACATATGGACCGACATTTGAAATCAACTGACCATCGCCTAAAATTTTATTGATATTTTTACCTATCTCAACAAAAAATTTATTCAACCCTGTAACGGTGCTCAATTTAGCAGTTTCACTGGCATCATTTGAGAACAATTTATTGCATGATTTTTTTGACCCCAAAATTTCATTAATTATCCTCCATCTGTGTTTTGTTCCAGGTTGATTTTTTAATTTATTTTCAAAATATTTTTTTTCCGTGAATCTTTTGACATTTATAAATTTATTTTTAACCTTATTATATGCATTTTTATTTTCAGGGGATGGATTGTGTAGATGCCTTTTGTAAAGAACATTTTTATACAAGGAAAGATTATAAAGATCGATATTCATCCATGGCCTTCGGAAGCCATTTTTTTTATTCACCAATGGCAAAGCTAGATTGATGCAGTTTAAATAAGTCTTTAGGAAATTCTTAAAATTTGATTCAAAATCGGACCCGTAATCAGACATGTTCCACTGGATATTCTGTAATAAACAATTTGCTTTTTTTAGGTTCTCAGAATTAATCAAACGGGTTTTAATGTAAGGGTTTTTGCCACCGACAGCCTTAGCATTCAATGGTATGCAAAGAAAAATAGGTAAATGGTCAGAAACATCGCTGTACAGAATTCCTTTAGGGCAGCCGCCGATGCCATAATTAGTAAAAACATTATCGATCGTTGACGAATGGCTTGATGTTATTCTAGTCGGTTGGTTGATAATTGGATGCAAATTAAATTGAGCCATAAGATTTAAAAACGATAATGATGCCTGGTTTTTTACAGCCAAATCAATGTTAAAATCCCCAAGTATAAAAACATCACTACTGACATCGTCTTTTAAAAGTTCATATAAAAATTCCTGCATTTTAGATAAGAAATTATCCAATTTATAATTTGGTGGCCTATAAATACAAATGATTATATTTTTTTTATTGTCAGAGGCAAATTTAATTCCGACCCATTCAAACAGGTCGGAACTGAGAGAAAAATTACAATTTAAATTTTCGTACGCTAAGTTTTTATCAATTAAAAAACCAGTACCCCCACCCCTTTTACCCACCCTATTTTTCGCAACTAGACTATGGCATGGAAAATACGATAGTATAGGGCCATAGTTAGTGTCATCATTTAGCCATGTTTCACTTAAAGCAACAATTTGAGGGATATTAACATATAATTGAAAACCATTAATCAACAGTGCCAAATCATCAGCATGCGCAGTCAAACTTCTGACATTTATATGCAGTAAAAATAAATTAGAGTTATTGTTAGCTGAAACATTTAAAAAATCGATAAGTTCACAGAAAACAAAATAATGACTAATGTTATTTGGCATATAGTATTCACAACTTACAATAGCATCCACATCATCAAAATTGTTCAACACACATGATCCATCAACATCCAAAACAATTGGCATAGTTTCATCCTCATCTGCATCATCCATATCAACGACATCAGAAGCAACACAAACATCATAAGACACCGCATCACACCAATTCATCGCTCTACCACTAGCAGGATTCATATTCATTTCTTGACCATCGGTAATTTCATGATCTTCCATCTTCCTGGAGGACCCCTCACCCTGAACAAAAAATCACCACTTGCTGCCTCTTGTTTTCTAGCCTCGTCCACCAAACTCTTTAGTTCAATTCTTTGATCTTTGGTTAAGTCATGGCTGAGGCTAATATTACCAAATTCATTGTTTAACAGTTTTAGTCTCGAGAGATTGCTCATTATAAGGGCTTTAATTTTTATGTTGTCCATTTTAATCAGCAATGGCCTATTTGAGTTTTCCTTTTTCTTCCCCAATCTTAATATTTTAATGACATCCTTGTCATTTACAGCATCATCTGTCAAATGCTTAAATATTTGAATGATGCGCTTTTTGTCATCACCATGTTCTGACAGTCGGAACAACATAATATTTCTTTCTTTCTTTTTAGCCTCAGATGCCTCGACCAGTGTCTTCTGCACATTTTTGAACTCAACGCTGACTGCTTCCTTCGTCTCGATCATCTCCTTTTTTAACGCTTGGAAACAGTCGTTTATCACCTCATCATTTAACTTCACAACATTTGTAGTCACAACATCTTTTAGAGTATCTGCATAAGATTTTTTAAGATTTTCCTGCAGCACCACAATCCTGTCATCAATACTTTCGTTATCATCTCTGCTGTCAAGTTTGTTTTGAACAATCTTTACCTGATTACTGAGTGAGACGTTGCTTTCTTGCAACTTTCTTATCTCCTCCGTCAACTCACTTAGTTGTTTATTCGATCTAAACATGTCAATATGTTCAAGGCAGTTTTTACATATCCAGACGAAATTAACAGCCTGCAGGAGTTCTTTTGTTGTTGGTTCAGTTACTCCACTACATTTCCAATGCATAGTCACTGAACTACATAATTTACATTGTAACGAATCCTTTAAAGTCGCATTTCCATTGCAACTCTGACATTTATTTCTGCCTGCCATCAATTAAAACAACTCAAAACGTAAACACTGGACATGCAAATTTAAACTGCACTTATGTTCGACTTTAACGTTAGTATCAGTCTACAATCAGAACAAATTTCACAACATCAGGAGTGTATGTACAGAACTATAAACAGCTACAGTAAATAACCAGCCTAAATTATTTGCCTTTCAATTCAAACTATTAAAGATTAAATTTAAAACTAAATTTTATATTATTCAAAAAATAAATTATATATTCATAATCCCCTTAATTTTGTCTATAAAATGAACATAAATTTAGCAATTTAACTTTGAAAAAAAACGCTGAAAATTAAGAAATACGACGAGTAATCTAAATGCGTCCGATATGCGTAAACTACATATATATATATGTATATATATATATATATATATATATATATATATATATATATATATATATATATATATATATATATATTATATAAATTCATTATAAAAGCAACAGTAATCAGTGATACATATGTACGCGCACGCAGTTCAAATTTTACTGGGAGAATTCAAAATAGTTTGAAACCACACCTTGCTTAACATCCAATTCCAAGCCGAGCCAAGCTGAGCCAATATGCTTAGATTTATAAGCGCTTTTGCATCAAAATTTTGCTCGCTTTAAATGCGAATATCCCCAATATCGATATCAAAGAAATAACGCGAGCGAGTTTAAAAAATATTTTATTCAAAATTTAATTGAAGTAGAACATGTACCCAAGTTTTATTTGGCAAGTAATTCCATCCAATCATTTAAACACGCACACCCTTCAATTGAACTATCTCGCAATCTATTTCTTTTTATGCTTATTAGTTTCCCAGATTTTGAAAAAGCTCGTTCTCTTGGTGTGCAAGTTGAAGAAATACGTTTCACTAAGTATAGAATACCGCTAGCATGACGTCATTTCCTCCAACGATTCCGTAACAAATTCTCTATCCCATTTTGAAATTATTTTTGTCAATTTTAATGAAAATAATGCAATTTCGTAAGTAAGCTAACTTATGGCTTTGTTAAGCGGTAGGTTAGCCACCGTGTTTTCGAAACAAAGAGAAATATTTTTATATAAATTGACAAAAATAATTTCAAATTACATAATTCGATTTAAGTACAATATTTTAAACATATTGATCAAATTTATATTCAGTATTAGTTGTTTATTGAAACCCATGCAATTTCGTTACGTGAGCCCACCATGGCTTCAGTGAGCCACTGTTTTCTAAACAAAAAGCTATATTTGTTATTTAAATTGACAACGATAATTTTTAATTAAATAATTCAGTTTAATTATATTGATTTAAAAATATTTTTTAGTCAAGTAAATCTTTTGTATTAGTTGTTTGTTTAACATCGAGTTTGTTAAAACCCATGCAATTTCGTAAGCCAACTAACTGTATTAATTCTAATCTGCTGAAGTAATTAGAAGCTGCACGCCTGCTTTATCAACTTGAACCCAGAGACTCAGCTATGGCCATTAAATACACATACATTCTAACACACGTACATATATAAACGTGAAAAAAATTTTTTTAATCTGAAAATTTTTAAAAAGTGAAAATTTAATTTTGCATGCGGTTTTTTAAACAACCGCAAAAACAAAATACGCAAATCGCAAAATCCGCAAGTTCTGAGAATTTTTCATCAGTTATCCGCTTGAGGCTCTACTATACACAGTCACAAGCAAATTTTGAGGGTTTTACTATTTTTTTAGTTTCTCAAAGATTTAAGTAAAACCAAAAGTAAAATCAAGAAAGTAAAATTTAACTATGAAGTGTTAATTATTAATAATTACATGTGACTGAAACGATGAATGAATGATAGGTGCCTAGTGCAGCATACCTCAAATGACAACTGAAAATTTGGATGTCTTGTAGTATAACAACAGTGGGTTGCAATTGTCATAAACTCCTTAATACAAAATAAGATGATGGTGGTGGTGGTGAATATTATAGATTTTATCGCAAATAATTAATTTAGAGTAAAAAGAACTACAAGTTTTACAATCGTTTGAGAAATTTTTTCTTTTCGTTTTTCTTCTTGTCAACTGCAGATGGTTTGCTCTCTCCAGATGAAGCCAACTTTTTCTGAATATCATCTGATCGATTTGTTGTCATGTGCCTGCAAGCAACAATGTTTATCACCATTTAGAAGTTTCAACACTGTTAGATTTCAAGAAATTTTTATGTACAACTGAATGAAAAAAAATCCTTTTTATTAAAACAGTTCTTTAAAGAAAAATAGACCAACAAATAGCATTGAATAAACCAATTCATACAAAGCAACGAAATATATAAATTATTAAAATAAATAAATAATATATATGTATATCACTTTGAGAGAGATGGCCTAGCATGAATTTCAGTGAACAGTTTAGCTCTCGAGCAATAGTTTTCATACTGCTCCAATATCAACTTCCCTGCCTCTTCGTTAAGAGCTGACTCAGGGTTTGGAACTATTAGAAGACACTTAATGGTCTGGTAAATTTTTAAAATTAATTATAAATGCTAGAAATTTTATATAAAACATTTTTTAAAATATAATAATAATTCAGTTAGATAGGCACAAGTTGTGGAAATTTTTAGGAAAAAATTACACTAAATGAATCATGTTAATGAAATATAACATTACAACATTAAATTAAACTTAAATTCTTCTACAGTTAAATAAAAAGGAAGAAACAAACAAAACCAACAAGCAGGATATGTTTAATGCCATAGTTGGGCTGCCAATCTTTTTTCAATGTATTGACACAAATCTCGCCATTTTGAGCGACATTAGGATGAAAAATTTTTGTGAGGAAAAATCCTTTTGGTGGTTCCTGTGGAAAGTTCCGATTTAATATCAGTTTAACCTCAAAGGACCCACCCTCATATGGTGTTTCTTCTGTAATGGTATTGCAAATAAAAATAATTTCTGGCATTAATTATGATACTGCTGTCAGACATTAATTAGCATATTATAATAAACCAACCGGGCCCTTCAATGACGGCATGGATATCGGTGACATCTGACTCATTCAGAGTTACTCGAATGCCTTCAGGAGGATTTTTCTGCAAATCCAACAGCTCCTTAGTTACCAGCCTAATCACATTTGGATTTAAATTTTCGACATTGCTCTGTTGAAAATTAAAAATACCATTTTACTAATTTATTTTCAAATGATTTTGTTACTAAATTAAAATTTTAAAATGAACTCCTAAGTTCTCATTATTTAAAAAAAGTTGCAAATGTATTATAAAACACTCATGGCAGAAAATGTGAAATTTAATAAAAAGGTTGAAAAAAAAACTGGCAGAGAACAAAAATTGAAAAGCAAGATGATTAATAAATTAAAATTTTAATATAAAAATTAAAAATAAATTCTCAAGTTTTTTATTAACTTTAATAATTTAATCATATAAAAAAGAACATTCATTTTGATTAAAAACGATAAAAAATGAGCCACTTTATTCACCAAAAAAATACATTTTTACGAGAATAAAAATAATGAAAAAAGAAAACTGAAAAATGAAAGAAAAAAACTAAAAAACGGCCAGAGCAAAACAAAACGAAAACGGAACAGAAGCCTTATTTTATTGAAGATAAATGTTCGGACTGCCTCAAATAATACTAACAGTAGACATTTTTAAATTTATTTAAAAAAGAACTAATTAATTTACGAGTTTGCTATTTTTATTTACGTTCGAATTTTGAAAATTAGAGATAATAATCAGCGGAAATAAGTCAAAGAATTGAATACTTAAGAATAAACTAAAAGTTAATCTACATAAATAATCATTATAGCCATGTGTACTTGGAATAGAATTATCATACTTAATAAAGAGAAATATTTGTTAAATAAGCACGTATTACTGCTTTTGCATAGAATTTTCAAATTAATAACTCTAATAATTGTGATGATGGTCATATAAATATTGTTTTAATAACTATACAAAAGTCAAATATCTCCTTCACTGAGTTCGCGGTTCGCACAAGCTGTTTCTTCTTATATAAATAAATAAATAACAAAATTTAAAGTGGTTCAGTAGACTAGCATCTGTGTAAGAACCACTACAAATACCGAAAATTAAAACCATGCTTTCAAACATAAACCAGAAACGGCAAAAATATTTATTCAACGTTCTCATATAATATATTACTTGCTCCCATTAAACTCAAGTTTGATATAAATGGAATTGTATGGCAATTTGAGATTCGTTAATTGAATATGACAAGATGTCAAATTGTTCATTTTGGGTTGTAGTAGTGTATAATATGAAACTTGACTGCATGTGTTACCAGTCGAAAGTTCAGTTGCACGCAATTATTAAAATCGATATATGAAATTTCAATAAACATTAAAATACTAGATCATTACAACGCCATGATATTTGATGCACCAGAAATAATTGTATGAGTTCGTTTATGTTGAATTCATAAAGTTTACATTAAAAGATTAGGCTACGTTTTATCAGTCACGTTCGCGTCATGAATAAGGTATTTTTATTTAGTTAGTAGTTTATCTTATTAGACTACGTGGCTGTATATATGGAGAGCATGCATGAACAAAACTAACAATAGCGCCTGTGGTTTATTTAGTTGAACAGTTTTATTTCGTTCATTCTTTTTGTGATTCTCACGCGCGTTTGTCTGTTTTGCAGCAACGCATTTGAACTTGCCAACACTTGCCAACGTAAATTTTTGCAGCCAATCATCGACAAGGTAAATGAAAGATAGCTGCTGTCAGTATGGAACACTTCAATCAAGCATACCTGTTCAAGCGTGCATATGGAAGTAGTTCAGAATGCGGAAAACTGGATCTCTCCGCTGATCATCCCACATATCTCTACAGAGGACACACAAACACACACGTGCAAACAAAATAAAAACTGAAAAAATCATACACAACATGCATGCTCTTAGGTAAACGCACATGTATGCTAAGCACAACACACATATGTGAGAACGATCATGTATACCCTTCATCGTTATAAAGTAAATAAATACAAACTATTATATAAATATTTATATATTTATGTATTTATGTATATATCTATAAATTTTGTTTTTATATATCTATACAATATGTATGAAAGTATCATATACAGGAAATGTATATGTATAAAATAAATGTATAGAATATTGTAAATATATATATATATATGTATATATATATATATATATACATATTTTTGATACTATATATATATATATATATATGAATACAATTCTTATCTCCTTATTCATTGGTTAAAAAAGTTTTAAAGTTTGAATTTACTTTTGCTCATGCGCAGTGCCAGTGCCACGTTCGCTTCGTGCTGTTTGTCCAAGAGTTTTAGTCCGTTTTAGATTCTTCTCGAACTTTTTGTCAAAGAGTTCATTTAGGAAAAGTGAACTTTGTTATTTGTATTGTTGTAAATTGTTCTCACTAATTGTAAAAAATGTTTAAGTTTGAAATTGCGCTGTTCCTTTGTGCAACAGTTTTTGTGCAGAGGACATCTGCCTCAGATTTCGTGTTGGATCAAGGAGTGCTGGTGCTTTCAAACAACGACTTCGAACTTGCTCGAGAAAGATTTGATAACTTGTTCGTTGAGTTCTGTTAGTAAATCTCAGTTGTTCTGCTGTTGTTTGACATGTCATTTTTATCTCATTCTCATCTCATTCCCATAACAATAAAAATTGCCTCCAAAAGATTCAACGTGGTGTGGGCACTGCAAATCAATGGCTCCTGAGTACATCAAAGCAGCTCAGATGCTCACAGACAGAGGTGCAAACGTTCAACTTGCAAAGGTTGATGCAGAGTTGGAGGACAGATTGAGAAAGGAGTACAAGATAACAAACTACCCAACATTCAAATTCTTTGTGAAGGGAAAAAATAAGATTCTGGATTATTCAGCTGGTCGTCATGCTGATGACATTGTGAACTACATTGAGAAGAAAATTGGTCAGCCTGCAAGAGAGGTTAACACCATTGATGAAGCCAAAGCACTCCTTGACCAAGAAATTTTTTTCCTGTTTGCGTTTGCTAAGGTTATTTTTAATTAGTACTTTGAAATTGAGCTTAATCTTTTTTTGTTAAGATTTTCTACATTTTAAAAATTATTTTGATATGATTAATTGTTTAAAAGAGCCTGGAGGTGAGATCGGTTTTTGAGCAAGTGGCCTTCGACAATGACAAGTACTTGTTTGCCATCACATCCGACCCTGTATTGTTCTCAGAGTTTCATGTCAATGAGGACACCATTGTTGCTTTTAAAAAGGTTTGTTCTTTATGTATTTATTTTCAACTCTGCATGAGGCAACACACACATCCACACACACACACACACTCACAAACACACACACAGTATGATGAAGGGAAAGCAGAATTGACAGGTGACATCACGTACGAAACCATCAAGAAGTTCATCCTCGATCACCACCTTCCACTTGTCAGCGAATTCAGTGAGGAGAACGCAGAGAAGATCTTCACGACAGGTATCAGCAAGCATGCTGTCCTCTTCATTAGAAAGTCAGATGCACATTCCAAGATCCATTTTGATAGCTTCCAGGAAACTGCTCTTGCATTTAGAGGCAAGGTTAGAAAAAAAAATAATTTAAAAAAATTGCACTTTTTTCTTTTGAAATTCTTGAGCTATTTGTTAGAAAATAGTTCTAATTTTATTGCTTTTCACCTATATCCTTCTGCATGGTCTAAATTTATTGTCATTCTTTTATATAGTTTTTCAACCTTTCTCTTATAATCATTTTTTTAACAATACCTCTTTTATCAACTAACTATCACATCCCAGACATTTACTTTGAAACTATTCAATTTAAGGTTGTTTTCTTATATGTCGACCTGGATGACGATGACAACCACAAAGTTCTTGAATTCTTTGGATTGACACTGGATGAGACGCCAGCAGTTCGATTCGTTGACCTCACACGACCTTCTGATCCCATCAAATACAACCCTACAAGTGCAGATTTGGGTCAGAGTTCAATTCAGGCATTTGTTGATGGAGTGCTTAATGGAAAGATTAAGGTTAGGTTTATTTTTTTGCATTTTTTTAATTGATCTTTTATTATAAAATTATGAAAAATTTTCTTTTATATTCTAAAATTTTCTGTTTCTTGTTGTCATTCTCATTATCACAAATTATTTACCAGCTGCCTAACTCATTATCATAATTTATTAAACTCTTTAGCCATTCTTCAAGAGTGACCCGGTGCCAGCTGATTGGAATGACAAACCAGTCAAGGTGCTCGTTGGCAAAAACTTCCAGGAGGTTCTCGATCAGGCTGTCACCTCTAAGAATGTCATCGTTCTCTTTTGTTAGTTTTTATTTGTTATTTAAAAAGTTTTAGGATGAATGGGTGAAGTTTTTTTAATTTTTTCAGATTTAATATTTTCATTACTTTATTTAACTAACTGGTGAAGTTGATGAGATTGAAACTAGCTGGTGAAATTGTAGGGATTGCCTAAACCAATGTATTAAAAACAACAAACAAACAACCAACTAACTCTAATATAATAAATACACACGCACGTACTTACGAACACACACACGAACACATTCAGATGCACCATGGTGTGGACACTGCAAAAAACTCGAACCGATTTGGGAAGAGCTCGGCGAGAGGTACGCACAAAATCCCAAAGTTCTCGTTGCCAAAATGGATTCAACCACCAATGAACTGGAAAACATGGACATCAAAAATTTTCCCAGCGTAAAATTGTTCATCCGGGGCACCAAAGATGTTAGATTTTAAATTTTATCAAATAATTATCATGTATCTTTGATGATCTTTATGCAATGTATGTATGTTGTCAGGTTGTCGATTACTCCGGCGAAAGAAGTCTAATGGCCATATCTGCATTTGTTGACAGCAATGGAAAGGTTATTAATATTATAAGATTATTATTATTTTCATTGTTTTTTATTATCATTTTCAATATATTATCGAAAATATCAAGTAAATTACGTTGTTATTGATGTAGGATGTGCAGCATACGTGGCTTAAACCAGACTTGATGTAACATTTCAATTTTGTTCGTTTAATTTTATTTTAAATTTATTTTAATTTTTGTTTCGTTTAACTTAGGTGGTCGTGGTTGTTCCAAATACTGCTGCTGAACCAGTGAAAGATGAATTGTAGAGAGAGAGAGAGAGACAAATATATATATATATATATATATATATATATATAGAGAGAGAGAGAGAGAGAGAGAGAGAAAGAGAGAGAGAGAGAGTGGGAGAGATGAAATAGATCGGAGTTTATACAATGTATAACCAATGTTGTTTTAATGATCAATCAATCTTTGATCATGTCACTTATTTTTACCTTTTGTTTTTCATTCTTTCTAGAGCTGTTTTTTAAGTTAAAGAAAATTTACTTTTGTTATAGATTCTTAAGAAAATGTTATTTTCTACTTAAAAAATGAATCCTGATTTACTAATTTAATGTTCAATTTCTTTTGTTTTAATAAGATTTTTTAAAGTTCAAATTAAAAGATATACAAATGTACCTATTCTCACGTTTTTCCATGTCGGCAAAACTTTTCTTTCTTGTTAAGTTACATTTTTATGACAAATGTTTCACAGTAAAATATACTCAAATCTGTAGTTGTAAGGTGATGGATGTTTAAAAAAAAATTCAATACTACAACACTCATTAAATATATAGCAGGGCTACTTTTTTATTAAGCTCTCATTCATTCATTCTTACATTCACTCATTCATTTTTTTTCAAGACTTGTGATGTCAAATCAAAAGGCAATGATATTATTTATTATATGAATCTTAGCTGAATGCGCATGCTGTTTAAGAGATCTGGATAAATTTATTTTTCAACAACGCTTTCTCATTCATTCATTCAATTATTTATTCAATTATTCATTTCTTTTGGTTATATGCAATGGTTTTTCTTAAATTACATATCAACATGTAACATTTAATTGCGCCTTCAGTATACTGTATTCAATTCTTTATTAGACTTTTTTTTATAAAAAATTGGTATCAAACTTCTCAAACACACACACACACTATTATTGTTATTAATACATATATATATATATATATATATATATATATATATATATATAATTGCTGAGATTTATCAATATATTTTTCTAAATTGTAAAATATAAAGTCACAAATATATTGATTATATCATTGTCGTTTATAATAAAAAAATATTTCACTATATAAATATATATGTATTTATATATAATACATATGTATATATTGTGTATATATATATATACATAAAGCGTTTTCATATATACATATACATTGACAGCATATATATATATATATATATATATATATATATATATATATATATATATATATTAAAAGCATGAACATAATCATTTATATAATACATAATTAGTCAATCAATCAGTTAGAAAGATATATACATGTTTTTAGAAGTATATGCATGTATGTATGTATACATGTGTACACGTGTAATTGCCTTTGTCATAGGTAGATTGTTAATTTTTTATTAAAGACACGAAAAAAAGTAGAAGATTGCTTGACAGTGCCTTAACTGAAATTTTGTCCCTTCACAGTCTACATCATGTAAACATAGTGGGATAAAGTTTAAGCTAAGGCACGCACTGTCGCAAGCAATTTTCTTTGACCTTTTTGTGCCTTCAATTAACGGTGTATTATCACAATTGTACCTGTGACAAATGCTAATACACCAGTTGATTATAATACGTACTGTGTTATGCTCATTTCATCTAGTTACTCGTAAAAAATACACATTAAAATACCAATGATAATAATGAATAATAATAATAATATAATAATAACGAATGGAACGATAATAAGAGTACAAGCGAGTTAGCGCTGAAAAAATATTAGAGAATACAGACGTAAAAAATACATTGACAGGAATACCACTGTATATTAATAATATTAAATAACAGCAATAATAATAATAAATAAATAAATATTATTAATAATAAGTCAATTACTGTTATATTTTTTTTACAAAACGTCATTTATATAGCGCCCTATGGACATATGCATAGCATAGGGACGATCAAATGATTGCTGGAAAATATGCATTGGCAAGTACAAAGGGTATGGTATTTATATGTATGTGTATACGCTTGTATGTGTGCATGTATGTATGTGTGCATGCATGTATGTATGTATGTGTACGTACGTGTACCTACCTAGGAGATATGTGTGTGTTTGTATGTCATGCTGGTATTTAGAAATACAAAATTGACGAGTAAAATACGTAATGTTTGCACGACTTTTTAACTGGTCAACTGAGAACGGACTATAAATGTAATGTAATAATTAGTTGCGATGTAATTATTAATGATAGTCGAATTAACGTTATAATTATTTTTATTTCTTCTAATTAATTACTGTCAACCATAATTACATTAACGCGCTTATATTTATTAGTACATCAAAGTCACAAAATCGAGGAGATATGACGGTTAAGAACGAACGTAACAAACATGTGAACAGACACAACAAACATGTGAACAGACAAACAAACAAACACAAAAAATCTAAACAAGCATCATGCAAGCTGAACAACATACAAGCAAGCATCATTATAAAAACCGACAAAAACAACACTTAGAAGCAATAAAACATACACACAAAACAAAAACACACACTCATATATACACATGAGGCTAAGACTATGGAAATGAACATTAGTTAGATAATGAGATGTGCACACACACACACAAACACACATAGATAATGAGCTGTGAACACACAAACACACAACACAAACACACGAAATAAATATGAAAAAAAGAAGAGTTAATTTATGTTCAATTTACAATCAAGCCAATGTAACAAGAAAAACTTACTTTGAATAAAAATTCATTTTCGATCAACATAATTGTCAGAAAAATAATTAATAATAATAAACAAATAAATAAAAATTTGAAACCACGATCTATTCATAAACATGTTGCTTTTTAAAATGACAGTACAATGAACATCAATTAAAACACAACAGACATAATAATAATAATAACAACGCCAACAACAACAATAATAACAACAACAATAATAATAATAACAACATACCAACAATAATAAAATAATATCCACAATGAACCGCAGTCGCAACATCATCGCTACAAAATTCCGTAAGCATTCATTTATACATAATTCATTCTCGAAAACGGACGCCATGGGGTAATTTAAATATATAATTGGGGAGAACAAGAGAGAAAGAGAGAAAAGAGAGAGAGAAAGAGAGAGACGGATAGTCCTACTCAAATACTCAATATCAAAATACCAAGATACGACCAGCAGACAAGCAGTTACCAATCAATATGACATAAGGGAGTCATCATACAATATATCTACTATCAGTTAATACAAAAAAATACCATATAATAAAAATTAATCGGTATTAAACATGGTATTTTGTGTGGATATAGATACACATAGATTTAGAATGTGGAGATGGTATCTGTATCTATAAGGGTATTGCCCTAAACTTCTTATCATAAATATTCTACCGAAAATACAAACGGCACTGACGTCAAGCATTCGTCATAACTGCTGATCAAGGAACCTCATGAGAACACGACAACCCTGAATGATAAAATACAAAACAAAGACGGCCAATAATCGGAACGTTCTAAAGAAAACATGCGGATGATGCGGTTGTTGTATAGTTCAATTCCTAACCGTGTGTTGTTTTATAGTTCAATTCCTACGTATGTGTTAGCACTAAAAACCATACATCCGTATAAAAATCATAAACATATTAGACATGGTAAATTGAGTTCAACGAAACGCCTAGTAACAATAGAAATAAAAAAAAACAAAAAAGAATAATAATAATAACAATAATGATTTTTTTTCAAAACAAACACAGTAAACATTATTAAAAAATAAGCCTAAGCCAACCAAACTTCACAGCAACGCCACAAACAAAACAAACAACCACAAAACAAACAGCAATCACAAATCCTCGCAACATGGTTCATCATACATATACGTGTATAATATACATCAAAAAAAAAGAAAACTTGAAAACATACAATACACTCGTACGTACATTGCACTGTACATACATAATACAAACATACATACATAGACACGTTTACACATACCAAAAAACGTACCACATGGTACAACAGTACACAGGACGGTACAAACACATCCCATACAACAAACAATATCAAATAAACATCTATAAAAGGCACATATCGATCAACTTTCCACTATTCCCACACACACACACACACACACACACACACACACACACACAAATATATACATAAACCTGGATATATATACACGTACATACTATTAACGCTAATATACTTTCCACAACGGAAAAAAATGATAAAGTGTACGTTGATGTACACAAATACACATGCAAAAAAACTGCAATAATGTACAATGTACGAAGTATGTACGTAAAGCGACACAAAATATAACGAAAAAAGAAAATAATTTTAGCACTATTAAAACACACACACAAAATACCCATATACATTCACATACATATGGTATATATACATATATGTGTGTGTGTATATATATATATAAATATATATATAAGTGTGTGTGAGTCTGTGTGTGTAGTTATTTCTACCTCATTATGTACATTGAAATACGCATACATTAGATACAAGAATACGCTAAAAAGTTCATAGACATACACAGAATATAAATAAAATAAACCATGCTAAAATAAATCTAAGAAATTATTTTTTTTTGTATTAAAATACATACAGTTAACAATAAACATGAATTAGGTTGATAATGATTGTTTAATTAAGAGTAATTAGGGGAGAGAGAGAGAGAGAGAGAGAGAGAGAGAGAGAGAGAGAGAGAGAGAAATCGCCAATCACTCCCACTGAAATGAAATAACAACCAAATAGATTATAAAACGTCCTTGAATAACAAAAGCAGTACGTTAAAATCATTAAAAAGGAGAGAGAGAGAGAGAGAGAGAGAAAGAGAGGGGGGGGGGGAGAAAAATTACTAAACAGTAACTGTCCTTTAGTTACTAATTCCTAATTAGTTGTGTCTTACTAAGTAGGTCTGTAGATTCAAAATAACGGAAACTCTCTTACGCGGCAAGCAAAACTTGAAACACAAGTACACAAAAATATTAAAAACCTAATAGCCTTTACTCACACATACACACGCACGCACACACACACACACACGTATAAAAACAGCATCCTACATTTATAAAAAAATTCTCATTCAAACAAAATTAAAATAAACTAATGTAACAAAATCATTTTTTTTAAATAGTTTATATTTATTATTTTTTATTTATTTTAATTATCTTCCTATCATCATTCACAAGGCAAAATACCATTGAATGATTCAACCAAAAAAATACAAATAAAAGTCTTTATTTTAATTAATTGTGTTAAATAAAAAACCCAATTTTGTTACTCAATATCATCATCATCACTACCCACAATCATCAACTTCACCATCATCATCATTATCATCATCTTCACCATCATCAACATCACGAGCTCATCATTACTATCACCGCACATATATAATCCTCCCTATTAAAACTCACTCAATGATCTTGAAATAAATAGCCTAATAAAGCTAAAAATCCGGCTGTCACAAAGTCTATTCCGTGTATCTCTAACTACATTTGGCTTCCAATGTGCTTATAATTGTGTTTTTTAGTTAATTTCCGCATGGAAAGCAGTGCATTTTTTCAAATTTTTGCTAAAATCAAACTCGAATTATAATACATTAGCTACAAAGCAAAATAATTCAAAATGAATCATAAAAACGATAAATAGTAATAATAAAATAAGAATAATAATATTAGAAAGCCAGACAACCGTTTAATACATTTAAAATCAACTCGTCAATCACTCATTTAATAATTTAATCCTGACTTGCTATGTAAATAATGGGTCAGTATAATGTGTATACATGTAAAAACATATAGTCATATACATATATGTATGTATGTGTACGCGTGTGTGTGTATGTGTAAGCGTGTGTGTATGCGTAAGCGCGTGTTTGTGTTTTAAAACATTGGCTAAAATAATGATTGATTGAAAAAGTTCGAAAAAAAATTCATGTAATTTTTGCATTTTAATAGCAATCATATTTTTTATCTTTTTACTGTTGCTACATTACATTACAATACAAAATGATACACATGTATGTACAAAGGATACCTGGAATTGTACAAACATACATACACGCTTATACATCAACATATGTTTAAACATTCTAAAAAAAAATAACGCATTGTACATAAGTATCATGGAGCAAAACTATATTACAGTACATACATATGCATGTGCACATATATATAGACATACATGTCATATTTATATACATAAATACATACATAAAGTTGAACATACATTCCAGTTTTAAAAACATTTTCGTCATCAGGTCTGTCTTATCTTTAAGCACACACACAACACACACACACACACACACACAAATATGCAGACATACGTACACACATGCATACACGAGTACATTGATACACACACATATATATGATGGCGAAAAACATATGCCAACATGCAAACTTCTTCAGTAACATTTTAAATGCACAGCCCTCTTTCTCTCTCACTCTCTCACACACACACACACCCACACACCACACACACACATTACTACTACGCATTAGTGGTCAATAATATATAATCAGAAACATCAGCGCACATATTGGAAGTTGTTGAAGTAGTAGTAATGCAGTAAAACTCACACACACACACATATTTAATTCTAGATGTTTGTACTTGTTTTGTTCAATCAATCAATCAATCAATTAATTAATTGATTAATTAATTATATTATAATTAATTAATCATATTAAAAGTTAGAGTTGAGGATGGAGGTGTCAAGTAGACTTTAAAAGAGGACATAGAGACAGTAGTGAGACTGGCTGTTTATTTCGTTCGTTAGTGCTTGTCAGTGGATGTTGCTCGTGAGTGAATTTATTTTCATACAACGGACGTGGATGGGATGTCGTTACGATTCCTCGTCGAACTGCGAGTCACCATACCTCCCCCTACACCCATGAAGCTCCCCATATCACCCCTGTAACCCCCGGGTATAAAATTAGGGACAGAACAGTATGGAGGAGGTCCAATCGGTGGATGTGGTAGCTGCTGATGGTGGTGATGCTGTTGTAGTAGCCGAGATTGTTGCTGCTGCTGTAGCTGAGAAGTATTTCGACTGGATGATCTGTGAGATGTAGAAGGAAGATGATGATGGTGGTTGGAGAGGGGATCTTGTTGCGACGGGATGGACATGTGGTGAGGATGGTGGTGATGGTACGGCTCAACGGATATCGATGACATTCCCAGCTGCATGTCGCTGCCGCCTCGGAGATGCGCCGACGTCGACGACGACTGGATAGCTGTGTGGCGGTCAACACGTAGGTCAAACTTGTCATTGTACAAATTAAATTTTTTAAAAATATCACGAATCAAAACTTGAAAAAAAAATTAAAAATTGGAAAGTTGGCGAACTGTTTGGGTAGTCGCCCATGGCTGCTATGATTAGCTGTTGAGGTGACGGCGAAGGAGATGGTAAAATCGGCATCATTTGTCGGGCGGGCAGTGGCGGGCCCCTGGACATCATTGGACCCCCCATGTTTCCAGGGGGGTATCTATCCCTCCTGAGCGTAGAGGCAAGTTGCTGGTCATCCATAGCTGGCAACATACCATTGTTTTGGTGGTTCTGTGCAATTGTTTTTGGGATTAACAGTCTTAAAAAGTATTTTGATAAATTAAAATCAGTAAAAATATTAGAGATTAGTGGCAATTTTAAATGATAAGATTATATATTTGCGTGTACTGGTACTGTGTAGCATTGATGAAGAAATGAGATTGAAAACTATTTATTGTTAGGCTTATTAGTCAAAATTTATTCATTGAATAAGTGCTATTATAATATTTTGGCAAACTATACTAGAGTCTGTATGATGATGAGAGTTGCACATGATGGGATGAGAAAAGTATAAAACAATTTCTACATAAATTAAATTTTTTAATTCATAGTTAGATGTTTTTCTCCGATAACTTCTCACTCAACTGCAAAAATTACTTTTGGAAAAAGTTCCAATCTCAATGTAGCGAAATCAGTTATGAGATAAAATGGAAAAAATTAACAAACATAAAAAGTAAATGACAGACCAAAAATATTTTGAAAAAAAATCCTAAATCTGTTTAAATTTCAACAGCAACAGCAATAATGACAACAAAAACAACAACAGTATAAGCATCAAAAGATACAACAATGACTAACAAATTTAAGCATGTTCCAGTCAAAGACATAGTTGTACGTATAACCAAATCTGTGGAAAAGATTCCTGAATAACTGCCTCAGGTATGAGTAATCTGGCTTATCTTCGAACCTCAGAGATCGACAAAAGTTTAAGTACGTGGAAAATTCAGCTGCAAATAAATAAAATATAAATAATGGATAAAATATAAATGACAAAACTAACTTAAATAAAACAAACATTGAAACGAATTAACTTTAAAACAATCAGTTTATCAGTAAAGAATGAGCAAAGTAAGCCAGATTCATCTTGCCAATTATCATAAACAACAAGTGTGTGTTTGTGTGTATACGTGTTACAACGGAAAACTCAACTTACACGCGTGTCCTTTGCACAACTCTTCAACCGACGTTGACATTTTCTTCTCACTGATTCTCTCATATTTTTGTTTTTTGGTGGCTGCCTTGAGACCCTGCCAGGGCAGACTGCCCCTTATGAAATACATAATGACATAACCTACTGACTCCATGTCATCTCGTCTGCTCTGCTCTATTTATTAGAATTTAATCATTATTATTATTACATTGTCGTATGAAATAAAATTAATATTATTATATATGGAACAAAGTGAACTTTTACTAAGAAAAAAAAAATACTACATCAACGTTTAAATTTTTTTTTCAATTTCATCAAAAAAACATTGATAATAATAAATGTTAACAAAAAATAGAAAAAAATTTGAAAAATTAAAAACCATATAATTTGATAAAGTTAAAAAAAATAAATTGAAAATTGAACAAACCAATGCCTAGATGTGTGTTGATACTTGCGTACCTCGCAGTACCGGTTAGATTTTTATTTTCCCTGTAAGGAATGTGCTGGTGCGTGCGACTGTCCCTATACTTTTTTGCCAGACCGAAGTCGATGATGTAAACTAAATTACCTTTTTTGCCCAGGCCCATTAGGAAGTTGTCGGGTTTGATATCACGGTGGATGAAGTTTTTTGAGTGAATGAACTCTACTCGACTGATCTGATGAAACAAAAATTAGGGAATTTTTCTATAAAAATATATTCTCTATTTTAACATTAAATATAATCCTAATCCCAATTTAATATTTGAAGACTATTGTACTGTATATGTAAGTCATGAGAAATGTAAAAATTTCATGTTATAATAACAACAGATATGCATGAATGTCTAGCTGAGGTTTAATTAAATAACAGAAAGAGCTTAACACAACAGGAACATAATTATTATTGTTGACAGAAATATTGCTTGTCTGTTCAAAATGTTAAGCAATAAATTGAACACGAAATAATTATTGTTGAAATAATTATTTATGATTGGCCATGAAATTGATAAATATAAAATGCAATTCAATAAATTGAAAACAAAGTCATTTCATTTAAAAGTAAATTTAATAAAACAGAATTTTTAATGAAACTGCATAAACAACCAATTGATCAGCAAGAAGGAGTACAGTTTTAAGACTAAATTTTCTTGAACAAAAGTTGAAAAGGTCTTCGAGACTTGGACCAAGCAACTCCATGACAATAACATTGTATTCGCCTTCAGTACCACTCCACTTTATAGTTGGAATTCCAACTGGGGAGATTAAATTAGGAATGAATTTATAAAGTGACATATTAGATAATATCAAAAATTATTTATATTTTTTGTCAAATGTTTTAAAAAACAATCTAGATTGATTTTATATTTAATTTAGTAGGTTGTTACTGACGGTGAATATTTTATTAAAAGTACCTCCAGTTTGCATAAGTTTGTAAATTTTTCCCTCTATATGTAATTGTGGATGTTTAGTCTTTGCACATTCCAGCTTGATCGCCACCTCCTGGGCAGTAACAACATCTGTCCCTGGTGTTGGCAAGTGAAAATGCAATGAAAAATTTAGTTACCGAAATAAAATGCAAGTATTAAGCTGCAAGCTTGAAAAAAAATTTTGGTACCAAATAAAAATGCAATCAAATTGATAATTTTAAAAATAAAAGTATTCCAAGTTTCAAAAAGAAAAGAAGAGATACACAAGAAACTGTCAACAAACCAAGGTATATGTCCCCAAATGATCCGCTGCCAATTTTGCGACCAAGACGGTACCTATTGCCTATCCTCAGTTCCATTAGGACCCACCAAATGATAAAATAAATTTAATAATAACTAATATTAAACAAAACGCTCCTGGCAACTCTATAATTGACGGCTATATAAGAACAATAAACAGTTCATAGTTTATTTAGTTTTAACCACAAATACGGACAAATACTAAAAATAGAAAATTAATTCATCTAGAATATTAATTTGGAATAGTTTTATTATTTAATTTAGCAGAGGATTAAACGGATTTATTTGCAATCGGTGATAACTAAATAAACAAAAGTTTATCTTTCAGCTCTAAAGCTCAATTAAAAGTGGATTCGATGCATAAATGGGGTGAGGAAGTGCGGATTTTTTAATTTACAACTCAGTCTTATTGAAAGAAGAGCTCATGAGGTTCATTACCCTTAACTTAAACTGAAAAAAATACCAAACAACTACATTATTAACAACCAACTTTAAAATGTATGAAAAAAAAGTTATAATTTAGATTAGTTACTCAAGTTTTTTTTCATTTCGACGTCATCGTACAACAAAGATATTGTCTGTTTATATGTAATTGAAATTAAATTTGAAGCTTGTCAATATCCATACATTGTTTTCATAAAAAAATTACATTTCTCACATTTCATTCTCCAATATATCGTCAAATATCAATGAATTTATACGAGGTTTAAAATATATGAAAATAAAATTTGAACCCAAATCGCTCTATTTCGAAGAATAATAGAACTAACGTTATAAAAATGATACTTTGAGCAACATAAATTAACAGTCCACCAAATATTTTTATCAAAAAATAGGCCGGCCAGGATAGTACTGATAACTGGTGGGAAGATCAGTTGAAATACCAACGAAAGGAACCAGGCATCATCGACAGTCAGCTTCTGACACAGTTGGTTTTTGACCAAGGACCCAAGGATCATGCTGGTGTATTGGCAAAAGAAGAAGGCATTGATTTTGAAGATGTCACCCATTTAAGAATTTCATTTAAAAGTATTTTTTAGCCCAATTTTTCAGTTTATTTTCTAAACCTAGTTATTGGTTGTCAGTTGAGTAAGTCTTGTCAGTTGTAAGTGCAGACAGTTTTATTTACTCATTTTAATTTGGTGAACGTCTAAATGTGATATGGCATTTTATTTTCAGTGTCTGCAATCGTTGTTAATAATTTTACAGATATTCTCCAGATAGCAAATTTATGGAATTTCAGCAATTTAGTCAAGTTGCAGTTGGATAATAATTCCATTTCAAAGATCGAAGGACTGGATCACATGATTCATTTAAGATGGCTTGGTAAGATATCAAAGCAGGATCGTACAATGTTGCATAAAATGTCAAATGTACCTATTTACAATTTTCTGAGCGCAGATTTATCCTTCAATGTAATAACGCAAATTGACAACTTGAATCAGTTAAAGAACTTACGAGATCTAACGTTGTATCACAATCAAATTACGACCCTTGAAAACATGGATGAACTGAAAAATTTAGAGGTCCTTTCTATTGGTCGGAATAAACTTCAAAATATTGAAAATGTCGGTTAAATATGTCTAAATTCTGACGTTTCTATATCAAAATTTATGTACATTTTATTTGATGTTCTTGCCAATTATTTACACTTTCTTCAAACTACAAAACAGGTTATCTATTTGCGAAATTTTAAATCTCTGAAATCGGTGAATTTTTCTGGCAACGCATTCACAAGCCTCAACGACTACAGATCGGTTGTCATAGTTTACTTGCCACAACTCCAGTACATCGACTACTCCGCCATTAGTTCTGAACAGGTAAGTAGGTAGGTACGTTTCGTTGCATGTAACATACACAATTAACTAAAGCAAATGAATTATATAATATATATATATATATATATATATATATATATATATTATGTTAACAGTGAGATAATTTTATAAAAATTCTTTAGATCGTTTCAAAAATTCAGTTCTTTTGTTATTTAATAACTTGAGGCTTCAAGTTATTTGTTCACAACAAAATTTAGCCATTATAAATATCTCAGCCCGAGTAGAGCCCATAATAAAAATTTCCATATAGATAACGATACAATATATTAGATATATTAAAATATTGTGTTAAGTTAACAAATAATACACTTAAATTCAACCACAGCGCAACGCAGCTGCTGCAACCTTTGAAAATTTGATAACAACGTTAGAAGCTAAAGATGAAGTTCTACAAAGCGAACTGGCTCTGATGAACAAAGATAACGAGAGGCTGGCACATTATAAGGTCAGAGGAAAATAACTACCGAATTTTTATTAAAATAGTTACTGATTTTCTGTTATATATTAATGCTTATTTTAAAAAAATGAATTTTCGCCAACGTCAACAGAAATCGTTCGTGGACGCGTTCTCCGGTGAGTCATTTGCTGATCTGCTCTTTCAAGAGGACGATGACGACTCTAAGTTGAAACTTTGGTGGGTCATACAGAATCTCTTCACTGAATATCCTTCTATAGCCCTCTAAATTCCTACCTGCTATTTATCGATTGTTGAAACACTTTTTTGACTGATATGTTGATCAAAAACTCCTTAACTATTTTCTTTCATTTTTCGTTTACCTTCCGCGCGAATTTGTTAGAAATGACAAAAGATTTATTCTTGTTCGGCTTGAGTCAGCACGAAGCGCGAGAGAAAGAGCTGCAGACGTTTCGAGAAGGTGCCACGTACATCATTACGACGAGCACGCAGACGAGTAGAAATGACATCGAAGCATTCCTTGAATACAAAAGAGGGGTTCTACAATTTTTTTTTCTTTTACTAATCCATTTTCTTCATTTACAATAATTTAACTCCAGCAGAAGACTAAATATTAATCAACCTTAACCTGAAATGAATTTTTGCGAGCGTAGGTTTGGAACCGATTTGAATTCATGGAGAAGGACTCGCTACCTGAGACGAAGATAGAATACAACAACACGCTGGATAATCTATTTTTCAAGCTTGTCAACTACGAAATAACACTAGTCGAAAATTTAGATGTCAGTGCGTTTGTTTCTATATTAATTTAAAAATTAAACGTTCCAAAAAAAATTTTTTTTAATTTTATTAACTTTCAATGCTTGCAGGATTTGATACAACAGTTGGAGTTGAATCTAAACGAAATGGTAACTGACTTTAAAACGCACATACACGCTAAAATGTCAAGCATCAGAGAATTAGCCGGATCCTTCTACGAATCTTTAATAGGAGAAGCCAACAATTTAGCAGAGAAAAGACGCAAACCCGACGAATTCGACGAAATTCCTAGCGAAATAATGCACGTACGATAAAGATTTTTTTTTAGAAAATTGCAAAATCTATGTTTGTTGTCTCTACTGTTTACTTATAACTCAATTTCAAAAATTAAATTCGTAAATTTTTATAAAAATCTAGCTTGCCGGCGACAAGATGTTGCTGACCGTGACAATTCAGACGACTCATGACCAGCGCCTGGCTAAGATGGACAACGTACAAGACGATATATACACGCGTCTAAACACGTACGTGCCAGCCATCATAGGAGAACTTCACGATAAGATGGAAGTTAAGAGGAATCGAGCCAGGATTCAAGAGATTTGCCACTTTGTCGATCACCATCGTAACGACGGGAACCATCTTTTTGACGCCATGCTTCTTGATTAGCCGTGATGATAACGACGATGATGAAGAAAAAGAAGAAGAAGAAAAAGAAGAAGATGATGATATGATGGTGGTGAAAACAATATGAGGATGATCATGGTTGTTGCGGTGTTGTGTTTGTGGCTATGACGGCAAATCAAATTTTCATAAAATGATACAATTTGTAGATGTAAACTTTTAAAGACATTTGGCTTTAGATGAAAAATATCAATTATTAAATGAAGTTTTGGCTTTAAATGAAAAATATAAATTAATGAATGAAGTTTTGGTTTTAAGAGATAAATTTGTTATAAAAACTTTAAATTTTGATATTTTTGCTTGAATAAATTCAACCATTCTACATGTTTTAGATGTAGGTTTTGTTATTTCGTTCACAAAATGGTCAAAATTTAATAAAATTTGTTTTGTATTCGAATGAATTTCTGTTGCAAACGTACGAACTGTACATTTTGGGATGGTTTTACGTTGTTCAGTGCCTAAATAAATATCTTAACTTCAAGTTTTTTTTGTTTTGTTTCGTGAAATTGAATTTCTGGAGCAAAACCTCTCACTGCAAAGTCAAACGTTGGAACATTTAATTAGTGATTCGACTGATTAAAAATAATTAAAAGGTTTGAAATTTATTGCCGTTCTCTTCTGAGAAGTTTCACACTGAGAAAAGCTCATCAAGCTATTTTCTCTACAATGAGCGAAACTAACTCGAACGCCGAACACGTTCCACCAAGTGAAGCAGGACAGCCTCAGCAGATGATACAAACTCAACAGACACAAACTCAAGAGACCCAGGTTCGACAGCAAGCAATTCAGCAGATTGTGACATCCCATCAGCAAAGCAGCTTAAACAACAATGCTGGGACATTTCGGTCAAGAAGTGTTGCTGGTGCTGAGCGGAACGCGGTGACGTTCCAAATAGATCAAGCAATGTTCGTTTCCTTCCAACAACAGCAGTCAGCAGCCCCGCCACAGCGTAGCGGCCTCAGCAGCGGCAATAATAGAAACGGTAATACTCGATTCCAACCGCTACACCATCCTCTTGATCAGAGACGCAATGAGCCACGACCAGGTAACAGTCGTCAACTTCAGCAACAAACACAAAGACAACGTTTGTGGCTGCAACCACAACAGCCGCGACAACAGCGGCAGCCGCAGCAGCAACAGCAGCAGCAACAACAACAGCAACAACAACAACAGCCGAGAGCTGAACCGAGCGGACCAACTTCACCGCCGCCGTTTGGTTACGACAACACATTTGAATCTGAGTTGGATTCAAGATTCTACTGTCCCATCTGTCTAGCAGTTCTCAAAGAGGTCATGCAAACAAAATGTGGTCACAGATTCTGCAAAAGTTGCCTTAAGCGGACAGAAAATAGGTTAAAAATTGTTTAAAATTTAATTTTAATTCATCGTCACTGTGGAAATATTTAGAGTTTTTACATTAAAATTGCATGTAACGAAAAAATAAAATATATATTAAATCTTTTATAATACTTTTTTAGCATTCATTTAGTATTAACTAAAAATAAAATGGTGCATGTGAATAAAAATGAATACACGTATTAACGGGATTGGCGCATTTTGCATTTAAACCCGGTCACTGCATCGCCGCTGCCAACCACCTTAACCAGTACACCGCTCAAATACAGATTACATATAGGTATTGACTTGAAATTTGATAAATTTTAAACCAGCCATAATAGATCGTTACGATGCCCTGTTGACAAGACCTTCCTGAGTATGAACAACCCAAAAGATGTACCTAGCAACATTTTGCTTCTCCATTATAAAAAGATTACTTTTTATTTTTTTAGATCTAATTTATTTTTAAAAAAAATGTTCAATTCAATTAGCAATGGCAGTTGCTGTTAACTTAATTTAACATTTTTACATAAAATATAAATAATCAAGATTGAATGACTCAGAGCCAAAAAAATATTCTAAAAATCGTAAATTAGGATTTTAAACTCTGTAAAAAATGTCTATTTTTAAACTTTAGGTATTTCCTGATATTGCCACCGATAGGGAGGTGAGGTCCCTCAGGGTCCACTGTAGCAATCAGGCCATCGGATGTTCTTGGAAGGGAGAGCTAAACAATTTTGATGTATTTAAAATTTGTTAAATCTCCCCTATTTAATACCATAAACGACTTTATTTGTTATATCAGTTATTATTGTTTTCTGCGGTTATTTTATAAATTATTTTGTTAAATCTCCCCTATTTAATACCATAAACGACTTTATTTGTTATATCAGTTATTATTGTTTTCTGCGGCGATAGCAACAAAATTATAATTTAATTTATTATTAAATTTATAATTTTAAATTATAAAATATAAATAAACAAATTTACAGAAACACGTGGAACAATGTATGAAAGACTCAATTGCCTGCGTGTTCAACTGTGGCATGACTTTTAACAGGACAGAGATCGAGGCTCACCTACTGAAATGTACCAAAAAAAAGGAGGCTTGCCCCCACTGTCAAGCCGAAATGTTCTCTATCGAGTTGGCCGTCAGTTTGTTTTTAATCTTTTTTTTGTTTTTTTTTTCTTCTTATAGTTTTATTAATAATATCGTTTCCTACGTAATTTATTTCATCTAGATATATGAACATTTCATTTCCAACTTCATAATTTGTTTATTAAGACATAGACGTACCAAATTTTTTTTACAAAAATTTGTGAAATGTCTCCTAGAAACACCAGCTGATAAACTGTCCCAAGCTACCTGTTCAATGTGTGCTGTGTGGGGAGACGAACCTAACGAGGGGAAGCTTGCAAGAACACATGGAGACTGTTTGTCCGTCTGTTCAAGTTCATTGCTCCCATTCGTCTCTGGGTTGTAATTTTAAAGTCAGTTTTTGGTGTTGTGTTTTTTTAGCTTCCGTTGTTATTGTGTTGTCCATGCTGCTTGTAAATTTGAAGAAGAGGTTTTTTTCGAGTTATTTTACAAAATCTTGAGCGGGTTACTTTCATGCTGACAATTCATTGATACAATTTTTTATTTTTGAGTAACTCACAACCGAACGACCGAACGACCGACCGACCGACCGACCGACCGACCGACGAACCCCCTTCGCAGGACCAGCGTTCTCGGATGCCCATGCACTACACCGCTGAGATTAACTACCACGGCCATCTGGCTAGAGAAAAATTTTCAGAACATTCCAGATGGTTGTGTATACTGAATGATCAATATGTGGACTGCAGTAACAAATTAGATACTTTGGAGGAAAAATTGCGTAACCTGGAAAGGTAGAAATGACGTCATATATTTTTATTTCAATTTCGTTTTTTGTCACTCATCGTATTTATTTTTTATTTAAAAACATGAAAATTTCAATTATTCAAAAACCGAAAAAAGTTAATAAAAGTTTACAAATTTTCAAAAAATTTATATGCCTATTCAGTATGTGGAATCAAAATAAACTTTTGTCCCACGCTTGTTCGAAGTGGAACCCCATGGATAACGTCGGTCACGATGGCAAGCTCTTCTGGAAAGTCTTCATTCCGCAAAAAGGTCCCAAAGTAATTACCAGTCCCCACTTCTTCATTGGATACAATCCCGGATACAGATTCATCGTCAAACTCTACTTTCCAAATTCAAACGAGAACGCGCCCGTGAAGGCAGTCCTACTCTGCAAGCCCTCTCAACTGAACGAATATTCGCTCAAATTTCCAATCGATGGTTTTTTAAAGATTTCTCTCCCATCCCAGACCGGCAGGTTGGTTGAGTTTTCGACGTCCCTTGAGTCACGGCTGGAGGAGGGCAGTAGCAGCAGAGAAGCCACGAACAATCTAACCTTCAACAGCGCCGATCTTTCTGGAGACAGAAGAACCAGCACAGTTTGCAAAAAAAAGACGAGACCACCTCCAGAATATCGTAATGCTGCTAATTCCGACCACTACTTATTTGACTCTTCAGATTCTTCCTCGTCGTCATTTTTCAACGATTCCTTTGGCACAAATAGTCAAAAGAATAAACCGAAAAAAATTGACCGCAAGATGCCTGCAAAAAATTTTCACGTGATGAAATATTTTGAAAATTTGTACCCGCATTATTTAACAAATTGTTCTGGTCAATCTTTTCGGACTCCGCCAACACGAAGGGAAGATCAACAGCAGCAGCAGCAGCAGCAGCAGCGAGAGTTGGCACCATCATCGGGTTATCAAGCACAACATCAAATGGCCAAAAAGAAAGATAGAGTATGCGTTCATTTGCTGACGAGAAATGAAATGCACGAGAAATGTTTTGAAATGGAGGGCCAAATATTCGTTCATGTTGAAGTTAAATTGTACTTTTGACTTTCTCAAGTATTTGCGCGTGCGTGTATGTGTGTGTGTGTGTGTGTGTTTGTGGTGTGTGCGCTGACAGCAGTGTGTGTAACTGACAGCAAAAAAACGTTGTGTAGTTGTTGATGCTGAACAATTAAATTAAATTATTTCTCTTCAAAACTGGTTACGGATGATATAAAATAGACAATTTAGGAATACAAAAAAAATCAGTCAAAAAATAGTTTGACGAATATGTGATGAATTTTATTTATACAAGATGTTTTATTTTAATTATTATCGTCTTAAACTTTTTTCGTCTTTATTTATTTTTTATAAAACCTTCTTCGTTTTTAAGCAATGTTTTAACAAAGACAAAGACCCAAAAACTAGTTGACGCGTGTATATGCGTTTGTCTGTTAAGTATTTGATTTGATATTATATAATAACCTCCCATTGCTTTTTATGTTTATACGTTTCTATGTACTTTCGTCTGTATGAATGGTTAACACTTTTATATAAGAACAATTTCTGAGTGTTGTTTATTTATATTATTTAAAAATAAAATTCACAATATTTATGAGAAAAAAAATGTAATTAATATACAGGGTGAAACAGTGATAATTTTAGTAGCAGATAGTGTTATAAAAACTATACTGCTGTGAGTGTTTGTGATAGGAAACAAATTGAAAAATTATTTTTTGTAGTTTAACACAAAAATATGATTTAAAACAAGAATACAGAGATACATTTTTATGCAAAGGTAAAAATTAATTTTTTTATTCATGTATTTAGAGTGAGCATACTTATCAATATGTAATTTGATTAGGATGTAAGAAGAGGTAGAGGTTTCGAATATCTTGTGTGTTGTCGTTTTGTATTATGTGTCATAGTATGTTTTGTATGTTTTATCATTGTGTATTTAGTGTATATTGTGTATCATTGTATGTTTTGTCGTTGTATGTTTAGCATGTTGTATGTTTCGTATGTTTTGTACGTTGTATCATTGTATAGTTTGTATTTTGTATCACTGTATGTTGTATCGTTGTATGTTTCGTATCTTGTATCATTGTATGTTTTGTATGTTGTGTCTTTGTGTGTTTTGTATGTTGAATCATTGCAGATTGCTAAATGTAGAATGTAATGCCATGGGTTTGGACGGTTGATTCATCAACAGCAAATACAAATTATTATTTTCCTATCATAAGCATATTACAGTATATGACATAGTTCTTTCAACATTGTTAGGTTACGTTAACATTAACAATTTTATCATTTTTAAATTCAACTAATCATTAATTCGTTTGGATATCTATCTATTTATTTATTAACTTATTCAATTACTTATTTGCAACCATAGAGTTATTTTAAATTGTTTGTTTCAAACGAAAATTTCAACCTTTTTCACCCAACTAAAAATTAATTAGGCATAAGTCTTATAAACTAAAACGAAGTATTAGCGTTGTTTAATATTAATTGCGTTACAGGTTGCAAGATAGTACGCCGGGATGAACATCCATTTTAACCTAAAATTTTATATCTTAAATATAATTTTACATTTTTTAAGTTAAAAAAAACAAACTTTACACAAAAAATAACGTGTTGACATTGAGAATAATACAAAAAATGATAAAATGTCAAACTCTGATTATTTTGATATAGATACAAGGGTTATTTTGATGTAGATACAAACATGGATTATTTTGATAGAGATACAGACAAGTGTATTTTAACATTAAAAATTATTAACAAATTTACATAATTTAAACCTTAAAAATAAAAACAACAAAAAAACATAAAAAAAAACTTTATACAGTCTGCTGCAGATCACTTTCCGCACAACTCAACCTCTGCCTGGCGGCATTGCCGCGGTACTTGAAACCGGGCCATCCCACGGCTTCGTACCTCGTGAAGTACCAGTACAAAATCCAGAGAATATTCCCGAAGCAATTCATCAGAGATGCCTTCGAAGCATCCGAATCGAAACTCAAAACTAGGGATGTGATGACGCAGAAACCGAAACAGGCCAGCGCCGTGAAGGCGTACGTGACGGTTGTGATCCAGAATGAGTAGAGGTACAGGGTCGGGTGGCAGTATCGGTTACTTGTCTCGTCTTGAATATCGAAATCGTTGTAGATACGGTAAATCCATACACTTCCTAAAATGAATTTGAATAGAGAATTAATTTCTTGGCCTATAAGGTTTATTTTTTACACTTACAATCTAATAACATTAGCACTATCTGAAAATAGTAGTCTCATCCAGACACAATTTACCTGTAATGAACCAAGCAAGTAGAAACCAGCTAAGCACTACAGCCAGTGGATTTGTTTTGACATCTTCTTTCGTTCTATGCCCACAACCATTCACCCAACTTTGAATGAGGTTGAGAACGTTCTTCACCACCCCAAAACAACCTCCGACTACCAGGTAGATTGGAATGTAAGGTTGCCGCTTGCATTGCTGTAGGTAGAGCGTACCTTCAAAGTTGACGCCGGTTCAAAATTATTCAAATTATAAAAATTTTTTTTTTGACGTTTCAACATTTAAATAAATTTAATGTGCATTATAAATAGTGTTCTTTTTGACATAAATCATTATAAAATTTGTATTGTGAAGGCTAAAAAAGTTAAACGACAACTTTTTTAAAATACTTCAGACTCACCGACAACTATCATGGATACAGGGATTGCTAATAATGATGCTATCAGGATCCAACCAGCTGAAGAGAGAGTTTTTTAATTTTGTCATTTTAAATCACAAATACAAATTTTAAAATAGTGATTAACTTAATTATCTATTTTTCGATTTAAATTTTAATAATCAATTTTTAAACTTTAATAAAAATGAAAAATATTTAAAAAAAAAATTGACCGACTAGTTTCAAAAACAATCAGAGCGAATTTTCCGAAAAAATCGACAAAGCTACTCGATCTGTAGTAGGCACCTTTCACTCTCCTAACAAAATTCAATCCTTTTTCTGGAGTTTGAAGACAGGCTGGCAAAAATTTTGTAATATAAATCATAAAATAACCAAACAGAGTAATGATTTCAACTTTTTTAACGATAATTTCAAATTTTTAACTGCTTTTTTGCTAAACTATTTTCATTTTTTACGAAATAATAATCAAAAACTTACCACTTGGTTGCAAGAGAGGGTTATTTTGATCCACTCTCTCTCGCGTATTGGTGTTCTGTTGAGTATTTTAAATTCCATTTTTCAAAAAAAGAAAAAAAAATTATTTCAATTTTATATCAATTTTTCATTCATTTAGAATTCTGCTGTTAAAACGACCTCACGTGACTCACCATTTTCTCATAAACTTTCATTAAGCAACATCAAAAACGTTCGATGAATTTTAAAATTAAAGTAAATTTCGTACAACTTTCGCAGTTTAATCAGTATAGGTATTCTAAGCAGGTTGACAATCACATTAGACATAAAACTCATACGTTAATCTATCTGACGCTGGCTACATTGCAACATTAAGTAATAATTTTATAACCTTACAATTCTTTGAAACAGCTGAATCGATATATTGATACATTTGTATAAACAAACAAACAAATAAACGGATTGGCAAATATAGGTGCTTGGGAAAGAATTCACTCGAGCGCTGCCTGTCTTCATCCAGCGTGGAATGACTGATAGTATGATTCCACCACAAAAATCCAGGTCAATTATGTACTATAAGTTTACATTATTAATGAATGAATACGTACAACAGCACATACTTACGTACATACACACATACAATACAATACAATACAACACATACAACAAAACATACATACAATACATACAACAATACATACATACAATACATACAACAATACATACATACAATACATACAACAATACATACATACATTCAGTCATACAGCGTTCATGCATGCATATTTATTACATACATGTATCTATACCTATGTTTTTTGATGCTAACGATGATTTAATCTCTTTGCGTTTGTCTACGGCACTTAGCGATATGCTAATAAAATTTTACTATATCGCTTGTCGGCTCTTAGAATAGAAATTTTACTCATAAATTAAAATTACAATGTCTGAGTTATATCATAATGAAATTAGGGCATTGAAATATACAGGCTGTACAAATCGTCACATGTTTTTACATATACAATACATACAACGATACACACAATGTTAAAACAACTTTCACATCTTTCCAATACAGGTAACATATGCTCAGGTAAGTCGCAAGACGCACAAAGACACACATTTTTTTTAAAACTACGACAAAAAATTCATTGAAATAATTTGCCAACTTGACTAAGACGCAAAAATGATATCTTTTAGCGTTTGAGTTGTGTGTTTTATTGATATAATGACATTTGAAAATAAAATATCATGTGAGATTATATTGAGTGAGATCTAACGCTCGAAGCCGTGAATGCCTGCCTAGAGATTGCGCTGCGACGACGATGATACAAGCGCAGCAGGGATGGATGATGGGATGATGGCGACGCTGAAGATGAGTTTATTAATTTGTTTCGGTTAAATTTGGTTTAAGATTTTTATTTTAATTTTTCGACTTAGGTGTAAAATTATTCTTGACAACTTCTTTCTCAATAAAAATCTCATAAAATTTGAGACAGTTTTTTTATTTATGTTTTTGTTTAATCTTTTAAATATTTATATAAATTAATTTATCAATGTATTCTTTAATTTAAAATTAAATTTGAATAAATTAAAATAAAAAATTCATTCGTGCTATTAGCAGCTAAATAATCTGTCCTGGACGCGAAAATGAACATAATTTAAACCGAGAAGAGGCTGAGATGATACGTGACACACAATGAAAAATGAAAATAAAAAAAATCAATATCACTCTCTTTTCCTTTCATTCCGTTTCATCATCATGTTTCCTCAGTTTAGATAACTAGCCATATAGTTCCTTGTTTGGTGCTTGTTTGTCATTTTGACGAATGCAAATTCTGCAGTCTGGTATTACTTTTTAGATTCTCGTTTCCTGCAGAGGCGATGGAAGTGATCGAGGTGAGTGGCGAAGATGGTGGGATGTACATAGAGAATGGTGACAGCTTCCTCATTCATTTTCTTCATTCCTTTCCACGTATTGACTTTTCACTAACAGTCGTTAATTCTACGTTTGATTTGGAATCGACAAAATACAAAGAGGTTAGTTAGCTTTCGGTGGCTAGTTTTTTAAATAATAAAATTGGAAATCAACTAAATAAGAAACAACACAAATGAACGACATAGTCGCTTTTGTTCTGGGCATCGTTGCCAGTACTAGGGCTTCTGATAGTGCTGATATCCCTGCTGGCCTACTTAATATTTCGCTGCATATGCAAGTCTGCCTACGATGATGAATCGACGAACAGAAGCAGAATTTCAGAGTCTGAGTGTGAGAAAACCAACAAATGCATCTCGTGCGTCAAGTGGTCCATCAGCTGTTTGGTACTGCTGGCCTGGTTGGTATTGCACATAATTTATTTTTAATTTTAAGTGAAATTTTTTTTGTGCAAATTACTTTCAAGTGGCTCTTCAGCTTTTGGGTTTTATGGCAACAATGAAATTCGCAAAGGTTCAAATATTGTTAGTGATGCAATTGCGTCTACAGCCATTAATTTATACTACGCTCAAACTCAGGTTTAATGTTTGCCATTTTTCAATTTGTAAATTTTGTTTAATTAATCGTTTCATCAAATTTTAAAAAGGTATCTCAGTTGAGAAATTTGATAAATTCGACCAACGCCGAAATTAAAAGTCTGAGAGAAACGTTGAAGCGTCACTTCGGCCAGTACAGGCATTTAAACACGACGGCCAATGAAGAGCTGGGCAAACATTTGGAGCTGATGTCGCGCCGAATGACTGAAGTTTGGAATCACGTCAGAGATCTTGTTGATAGGGATGAAAAGAGAGATGAAACTGATAGTAAAGTAGCCATTTATTCGAAACTCTTCGAAGATTTTGATCTGTACAGGTATCGTTCTTTGATATATTCATAACTTTCGTAAAGTAGCTAGAAACGTTTTTATAAAATTTATTATATATATTATATATTATAAATTATATTTATAGGTGGATAACGTGCATTTCAATTTTCGTCTGGCTAATAGTCTTATCACTTATGCTTCTGCTCGGAGCTGTTAAGAGTTCCAAATGTTTGCTCTTGGTGTTAGTTGGTCATTCATGAAATTTTATCTCTAATTTGATGTCCACAATTTTTTCTTTCCGACGTTTCAGATATTAATTGGTGCCATTTTTAAATTCACCACGTTTCAGATTTTGTACATGTGGTATTCTAACTCTTGTGGTTTGCTGGTTGTCATGCAGCTTACATCTCGCATTAATTCTAGTTAGCAAATTTATATTTGTTTAAAGGATATTTTTTATACAATACCAGAGGTAATTTAATGAATGAAATATATTAAATTTTTCTTAAGGGTTTATCTGATTTTTGTTTCAAGCCAGACGTATCATCTATTAAAGAGATCTCAAAGTATTATGACTCACGTTAGTAAATTTTGCTTTCGACTAACCAATCTACTACAATTTCATTTGGAACGTTTAAATTCAAGGTTTCACAGAATATTACATCAAATGTAACCCAACTAAGCATCCAAATCCATTAGTTCATGTTGGTGCATTCTTACATTTCGTATAATAACTGTAAAGTGTAGAATATGAGGTTTTTAATTTTGTTTTTCAGCACATAAAGGGTGCTCAAAATGGCGTTTCTGAGATGAATTCAAACATAAATGAAGCAGCAAATTACATTAAAAACTTCTTGCCCCAGAGCGAGGTTAATACACCAGATGCCCAAATGTTATTTCCTTATTTATTATCAATCTAACTTCATATCAACTTAATTTATCCTCAACCTAACTGATTATTTCTGGATCTATTATCAAACTAATTTTTTCAAAATTCAGTCGAGCTATTTAGCCAGTTCAATTCAAACTAATGTAGAAAGCATAAATATCTGCCTAGCTAAATTGATTGCTTTGAGTGAATGTTCGACTCTGAACAAAATTTACAAGCATTCAATTCATGGAATGTGCCACATAGCATTGTGAGTAAAATAATAAAATGTATTTTGCTTTCTATTTATATTTAATTTAGTGTTTTTCTCTAATTAAAAAGACCAGGTTACACTAACATTACCTTACTCTCCTTTGCTTTCGGAATAATTCTCGCTCTTTTAGTCTTTTTTTCCATCAAACTCTGGAGATTGACAACGAGGTAGGTATGAATGATGTCATCACCATACACACACTTACAGCAAACTTCCTCAACTTAATAAAACACTTTTTAAACATTTTCTTAGTTTTCCGAACGGATCGGTGATTAAAGAGAGAGACACGCTGATGTCACATTCATTTCATCAGACCGCCCTACCACCAACGGTGAGAAACGAAAAATCCAAATAAGTCACGTTATAACGTTCTCATTTAACTTCGTTTTAAAACTTGTAGCCATCTTTCTCTCACGAATTTCTTCTTCAATTTCTTTCAGTACACGAGCGGAAGTATATGCAGGCAGTACAGTGGCCTGCTCAACTTGTCTGAAAACTGTAGCACAATGAGGGAATCAATTGCCTGAAAGTGTTCATCTATTTTTACGCATACACTAACGCAGATACTAATTTACGTTAAAAAAGGTTTTTTAGTTTAAGACAAATGATACAATCTATATTTTAGTTTTATTTTATTGCTTTGTTTATCATGATGCATAATTAATAAATAAATTCTGAAAGAAAATTAGTTAAACATATTAGTGAACAAAATAACAACTCGAGATAGAGAGAGAAGAAAACAAATGATCGAATCTAAATTCTCAAACATCATCTGCACACGTCGTCACATCAATAAGAAAGTGGAACGATTCGAACAGAGCATATTATGAATACTTGTGATAGATTATGTAACATGTGGAATTCACGCAATACAAGAGTTGAGAACGCACGTAATAAATTATAAAACAGCGTACAACATGCAGGACATAACTTAATAAAAAATAAATAATTTTCTGTAAGCCAGCGAATATAAATAAATTTTATTATTCATCGAGTATGAAGCCTTCCGAACATTTCACAACTCCGAAACACCTTGATCCTCAATAATGATGCCTTCTTGAGGCGGAGTTTTCCTTCTGAAAAAAATAAAGTTATCATTTTCTATCTTCGTTACGGGCTGGCTGATGTTAGTATCGACCCTTGGTGAGGTGATTGTTAAATTTGGTTCGTCGATTGACACATTTACATTTTCGATGATTTTCTCTGATTGGAAAAGTTTCTTCAAAGAGTTTAATTTTGTATTTCGGCTCTTGAAAATTTTATCATTTTGAGCAATTGACTTCAGTTGGTTGAATGATTTTTCATTATGCTTTTCAGTCAGCTGCTGTTTCTTGAGAGTCAGCCTTTTGAACCTCGTCACCACTATAACAGCCATTACGGTAATCATGATCGTTAGCAGAACCACCCAAACGAATAAAATTACACTGATCGTAGTAAAATAAGTTGTTGTTTGTTCGAGGTCTTTAATTTGTTGAACCGATTGTGCATAATTATCATCTAAAATGTACTGAAGGGCTGCGAAAAGTAATGCAACATAATGTTTACTTGTTACACTTATTTTTGAGCAAGTCAATGAAGTTAATCAAATTTGAAACGAACCTTGGAATCCAACACCAAGAGGTCCTCTAGGACCTGTACTCCCAGTGTCACCCACAATCCCAGTAGAACCAGTCGATCCAACGTTTCCTCGTTTGCCAGTCGAACCAGTATATCCAACTTGACCTTTAAGAACGCAAAATTATTTGGTCAGCACATAGTAACCTACCGCACGTACTATACAACTTGACTTTAATACAGTAATTAAACAATGCCGGAGTTAAAATAACTTACTAAATGGTTGTAATAAATTAAAATGGGATATAATTAAGAATGATTGACTGACCAACAGGTCCTGTAGAGCCGGTGTTCCCTGCTGATCCTGACGATCCTGTAAAACCGACCTGCCCTCTCGCTCCCACGTAACCTGTGGCGCCCTGGTACCCTGTATTACCGGGGTTTCCAGTTGCTCCTTGCTGACCTTGTACTCCCTGACTGCCTGGCCTTCCTTGGTTGCCTATTGTTCCGTTATCACCTGGATTCCCTCTTAATCCTGGTTTTAACGAAAAATATGATCACCACTATAAATATCGAAGAAAGTTATTGAAGCAGTTTACAAGTTGCCTCACACGGTACAGTACGACAGCACGTCGTGTTTTGTATTGCGATGGCCTGATTTGAGTGCAATGAGAATGCAAACTTGAACAGACGTGAATGAATGTTAATTTACATAGTCTGCTCAAGTGAACGTGGCGAGTTTCTTTTTATGATGAATCTCTGAAGATTATCCATTATAACAAATTAATAATAATAACGTAAACACAACAAACTTTCATATCGAATAAAAAGATGAAAACTATTTATCCACTATTGTAAAAACGTAATATGTAAATGTCTAAAGAGAAATTCCACAAGAATAATTCGAAAAAATCAGAAAATTCGCGACAAAGGAAAGAAAAATGAGTTTATAAATTACTAAAATAAATCTACCTGTAGCTCCTGTGGATCCTTGGATGCCGTTAGCACCGAGTTGACCCACCTGACCAGCAGGTCCAACTGGCCCTGACGAACCGGTATCGCCTTGCAAACCTTGAGCACCTTGGCTACCAGGTTGTCCTGGTTGACCAGTACCCCCAGTGTTACCAGCAACTTCTAAAAAACCAGGCTTGCCAAATAGTTCCTGGCAGCCTGGTGCCCCAGTATCACCTTGAAGCAATTCAATTCAGAAACTTTAAATTGAAACCATCATGAATTGTAAAAAAAATTTAATACCTTGTCGTCCAGCAGGTCCAACTGGTCCCACAATTCCTGGATATCCTGGAGGTCCTACTGGACCAATTTCTCCATAAGAACCAGTTTGACCGGTATTACCAGTACCTCCAGCTGGACCTGATGGACCTTGATAACCAGGGTTTCCAATTGGTCCCGGAGGTCCAGGTAATCCCGATGTTCCACCTAGACCTTGTTGACCAGCTGCTCCTGGATATCCTTTGTTTCCCGTAGAACCAGTGGATCCTACAGGACCTGATTCACCTCTTAAACCAGTAGGTCCAGGTTGCCCTGGCGGACCAGAAACGCCAGTAGAACCGGTATCTCCTCTTGGTCCAACAGGTCCAATTGCACCATACTCACCAGGTGATCCCGTTTGACCTGTTGCTCCATTTGGACCCGGAACACCTACCTTTCCATAATCTCCAAAGGGTCCAAGTGGTCCAACTTCACCAGTTGATCCCTTTATGCCGACTGGACCCTCAACCCCAGAAGGACCGGGCAATCCAGGTTGCCCAGCAGTACCATTGGCACCAGGCTTTCCAGGCAATCCTGCTAGACCAGGCATTCCAGCAGGACCTAAAGGTCCGACTGGACCTCTATATCCTGTAGCACCTACCGGGCCTAGAGGACCAGTGTTGCCAGAAGATCCTATATCACCTCTTGGTCCAACGGGCCCTTGTAAACCAGTGTCACCGACATTTCCCGTAGCTCCGATTGCACCAGGAGGACCAACAGGACCTGGAATGCCTTTTTCTCCCTTTGGACCAATGGCACCACTAGATCCAAGAGGACCAGGAGGCCCAATAGGTCCATCCAGTCCAACATTTCCTTTATCTCCTTTTTCACCAGTTGGTCCTTTTGATCCGGGTACACCTTGCAAACCTACATATCCAGGAGATCCAGGCGGACCAATTGGCCCTGGTTGACCAATTACACCGAGATTACCAGGTGGTCCGTATTCTCCAATTATTCCTTTTAAACCAACAGATCCATTATTTCCTATAGGACCCTCTGTTCCCGTATCTCCTTTTATACCTTTAGGACCTATTGGACCCGTAATTCCCGTGTTTCCTGAAGGTCCTATTGGACCAATGATACCATTTTGACCATTAGGGCCACGCAATCCTTCTGGACCAGTATTTCCAGGTAAACCAACTGGACCAGTTGCACCTGGAGGACCAATAAAACCTCGCGGACCTAACCCACCAATAGGTCCTATTGGGCCTGGAGGTCCAGTATCACCTCTAGGACCAGGATCTCCAATATTTCCCACATACCCTCCGGTACCATTTAGCCCAATGGGACCAGTACCTCCTAATACCCCAACTGCTCCAACAGGTCCAACTGATCCTTTAGGACCAGTAGCACCCGTAATACCTAAGTTAAGTTTTTACGTTAATGAGCCACGTGTAAAATATACATTTCTAAAAAAAGTTTCTTCAAATGTCTTTTGCAGATTTTATTCAGACATTGAAAACTTAACAATTGCATTACCTAAATATAAATATGAGATTAAAATTTTACATAATGCAGCACAAAAAAGTTACCTTCATTTCCAGGTAGCCCATACAATCCTCTTACCCCTTGAGGTCCAATAGGACCAACAGGACCAGTACCTGGAGGGCCCTCCTCTCCTTTCAATCCCTGTTTACCTTCTGGTCCAATAGGACCTACAGGTCCTTGGTCACCAACAGCACCTGTAATTCCTCTCATACCTGTGGCTCCACGTTCACCGCTCAAACCAGGGTATCCAGGCTCTCCTCTAACTCCTGCAGGTCCAGGAACTCCAGTTAAGCCAACCGGACCCGGCGGCCCTTGTCTTCCTTGATATCCTTGAGTACCTTGAACACCCGTAATACCAGTACTACCTGTGAAGCCTTGACTACCAGGATCTCCTTTCAATCCAGTTGGTCCCAAAAGTCCAATATTACCTGTATCTCCAATTAAACCCCGCTCACCCATTAAACCTCTAGGTCCTTCAGGTCCTACATTTCCCGGAGCACCAATTGTACCATTAACACCAGCCGGACCTACGGGCCCCATAGGTCCTCGCGGACCTATTGGTCCAGGTGATCCAGTGAAACCTTAAATTTACAGCGAAAAAACTGATAACAATTATCTGGACAAGTATAGTCATAATTTTTATAAATTAATTAAAAAAATAGTCACCTGGATCACCAGCTGGTCCTGTAGCACCTCTTGGACCAGGATCTCCAACTCTCCCAATATTTCCAATTGGACCTTGAGGTCCTGTATTTCCAACGGGACCCGGCAGTCCAATTAAACCAGTTGAACCGCGGGGACCAACTAATCCAACAAACCCAGTATTTCCTTTAAAACCTGCTGCACCGGTATCTCCTACTGGACCGTATGGCCCAGGATCTCCTACAGCTCCTATAAGGCCTACTGGTCCAGGTAATCCTTGAAGTCCTGTAAGCCCTCGTACACCTTGAAAACCCGGTGATCCAGCTGGACCTTGAGGGCCAGGTAAACCTGTAGCTCCAAAAGGTCCAACAACTCCAATACTTCCAACAGGTCCAAACACACCAGTTGCGCCTGTTGCTCCTGGAACACCTGATTCACCTCGTAGACCTTTGGGTCCAATTGGCCCCATTATCCCAGGAGATCCCGTAGCACCGGTTTTTCCTGTATTACCAGGAGGACCATATGGTCCTCTAATTCCTGGTGGTCCATTTATACCAGTGTTACCCTGAGGTCCAGCTGTTCCATTTGGTCCAGGCAATCCTGGAAGACCAGGTAATCCAAAACCTCCTGCAAAAACAATGATTATGAGGTATCGATCAACACCTTGTGCTTCATGACTACATGTTTTATAGTAATAAATATTCAAATAAAATAAGCTTGCACGCTCTACAAAATATGTACCTAAGATACTGTGCGCTCATCTTAAAAGTTAAAACAAAAATTATAATAAAAATGTGATATATACCTGGAACGCCAATAGAACCACTTTGACCAGTATTTCCTGGAGGTCCTGGTAATCCTAAGCTACCAATTGGTCCAGTTTCTCCAATTATTCCTGAAGTGCCCGTTGGACCAGGTAAGCCCGTAACACCCCGCGCTCCTCCCTGACCATTTGAACCAGCGAACCCAGGATCTCCAATTCGACCAACATCTCCTGTATTACCAGTAGATCCTTTTATTCCAATTAATCCTGTATTTCCAGTGTTTCCAGGATCACCATTTAATCCAGTGGCACCAGTCGAACCAGTATTCCCAGGAACACCCATTTCACCAGAAAGCCCACGCGGGCCATCAAATCCCGGCAGACCTGGTGCTCCTGAATCACCCGGAGATCCTTTAGACCCTGCATCACCTGGCAAACCTGGATAACCAGGCATGCCCATGTCCCCTTTTATTCCTGAAACTCCAAGAGTACCTGCCTCTCCCCTTAATCCTGTGAAACCAGTGGCTCCAGGATTACCAATATCGCCTTGTTGGCCCGAGTTACCTGTAGAACCAGTACTTCCAGTTGAACCCATATTACCAGGAAAACCCGTTTCGCCTCTAGGTCCTGGATTTCCGACAGTACCATTTGGACCTTATGAAAGAGTTAAAAAATTTGTAAATTTGTGTGTAATGAAATGCTTACATCTATGATGTTCAATAAATTATGTAACAACATCAGAAGAGCAAAATGCTATTTTCCAAACACATTATATAACTTGGATTCTTTTTATTCTGTTTTAATAGAACTTAGGTCTATTTAACAAATGAAGAAAAACCAATTTTTTAATTTATAAGAAAGAAGAAATTAAAGTAAGTTAAAAGAGGGAAGATTCATTAAACAAAAAATGAAACAATTGTAAGAATAGTTGAAAATAAAATAAAACAGTAAATGAATTGTAAGTGACGAACAATAAAATAAGATGCCCTAAAATAATAATTAAATAATAATAGTTTATATGTGCTTGCTCAATTATTTTTGAAAAGAAACATCATTAAGTCGGAACAAAATGGTTTCTGAAATCTTATTTTTGAAATGATGTGGTTGATATAAAATATAATTCCATAAACATGTGCAAAATTAAAAAACTCATAGAAATTTGATCTACCTTGATCTCCGACCGGTCCTACTTGTCCAGGATCTCCTCTCAGTCCTTGGAATCCTACTGATCCAGTATTACCAGCATTTCCTGTGGGTCCAGGTAATCCGGGTGATCCTCGCGCACCTACAGGTCCTATTGGACCAGGGAGACCAGTTGAACCAGTAGATCCAGAACTACCGGTGGCTCCAAGAGAACCAGGAAAACCAAGTTGACCATTTGGACCGGGAAGTCCTTTGATGCCTGGATTTCCTGCAACACCCTTAAAACCAATAGGACCAATTGTACCTTGTTCACCTCTATTACCAGGCAATCCAGTGGGACCCGGTAGACCTGAGATACCTGTATTTCCAAACTCTCCAGAATCTCCTCTCTGTCCAGGAAAGCCAGTGGGACCGATGTTACCAGTATCACCACTCACACCTTGTTCTCCACTCAATCCCTGATTTCCAGGTAATCCTTTAGGTCCCCGAACTCCTTGTGGTCCAACAGGACCAGGAAGCCCGCTAGGACCAGGAGGACCATTTACTCCTCGTATACCATTTTGTCCAGTAGATCCCGTGTCCCCAACAGTTCCATTATCACCCCTTGCTCCAACAGGACCAGGAAATCCAGGGTAGCCAGGATCTCCAGCCGGTCCTGATAAACCGGTATCTCCTGTATTTCCTAATGGTCCTATGTCTCCCTGTGATCCAGGATTTCCATTAAATCCGGTGTTTCCTATAAAATCAACAAATATTTAATAATAAAATTACTAATACATACGGGACAATTATATCATATCGGCGAAAAAAATTTCAGAAATAGCAAACATCTCAATACCATAAATAGAAAATTATTAAAAACCTTTTTTAAATTAAAATTTTAAAAAGATGAACGTTGAAAGGTTTTATAAATACGAATTAGTAGCGATTATAGTGAACTGAGTTCAGAGGGAAAATGTAATTACTGGAGCAAATAGAACAATCAAACAATAGCAAAATGTCTGATGATTCCTTTGAAAACTGTGGTGAAAAAGAAACTTATGGTTTTTAATCAGAAAACCAATGCGAAAAGAATTGAGTTCGTGCTAGTTAGATGATTAAATGTCAATAAAAAGCATACCTTGTGAACCGGTAGATCCAGTTGATCCAGTTGATCCTGGTATACCTCTTGCCCCATTAAGTCCTACGTATCCAGGTAATCCAATGCTACCGGTGTCACCTGGAGCTCCTGTATTCCCAATTCCTCCAATTTCACCTTTCGGTCCTACTGGGCCTGTTGCACCCATCGAACCTTGGTTGCCTGTGTTACCCGGATTACCATTTAATCCAACTGCTCCTCTTGGACCTTGGAAACCCGTAGAGCCGCTATTACCTGTAAAACCGATTGGTCCTGCTAAACCTTGGAGACCATCTTGACCCGGGAAACCAACAGGTCCATCTTCTCCTTTTATCCCTGGATTTCCAGTATCTCCAGGTAATCCTGGGTTGCCCATCACACCAACAGCTCCTATAACTCCAGTGTTCCCAGTGGCCCCAACTGATCCTGAAGGACCAATTACTCCAAAAACACCTGATTTGATTAAAACAGTTAAGTTAATTAATTACGATTGACGTAAAACGAATTTACTTTACAACAAACAGTTTGATTTAATCAAAACAATCGATTAATTACGATTGATAAAATAATAGTGTACAATTGACAGTTAAGTTGGATTTTAACAATTAACTTATTAAATAGAATTGATGTAAAAAAATTTAACAATTATTATTGTATAATAAACATATATTTAAAAAAAGTAAAATGTATTTTTTAAAACTTTAACACCACTCTAGATTATATAAAAAATGGTTTATTAAATAATATTTGTTTTACAAACGCTTACTAACATTCAATAAACATTTAAATTTTTTGTTTATGACAACTTGAATTATATTAAAATGGCTTATTTATGTTTAATGTTCTACATACTTTCCTATTGGATTGAAATAATGGCAAAAAACTAAAAAGTACCTGGTAATCCGGATACTCCTGGCTCTCCTGGTGGTCCAGTACTACCAGGTGTCCCGGATTCACCAGATAAACCAGTCGCCCCCGGTGGACCGATGGCTCCTAGTGCACCACTCGAACCTACTGAACCAGATTCCCCAGTCGATCCTTGAAATCCAGTCTGTAACACAAGATATTTTCATAAAAATTTAAAAAACGCTAAAAATCTGAACTGACAAAATCCTCACTAACGTTTCCTGTTTGTCCTCTAGGTCCGGTATCACCTACGGAACCTTTATCGCCTGTTGCTCCAGCGAGGCCAGTATTACCAACTGGTCCATAATTACCAATGAAACCAGTTTGACCGGGATCTCCTACTAATCCAGTTGCTCCTGTGGATCCTGGCAATCCAGTCAGACCTTTTTCACCTGGTAGACCATTTTGACCCATGACACCAGGGTCCCCAACACGACCAGGAGATCCAGATTGTCCCGTGTTTCCGGTAGATCCAGCCATTCCTGGTTCACCTCTCAATCCAACGTCTCCTTGTCTACCATTATTTCCTGTAGCACCTGTACCCCCAACGTTCCCTTGCTGACCTCTAAGACCCGGCTGGCCAGGATCACCCCGCTGACCTGGTGTTCCTTGCTGACCTGATGCACCTGTGTTGCCAGTAAAACCCGGAACTCCTTGTGCTCCAGCAGACCCTTGTTCTCCTCGAGTACCTGATGAGCCAGGGGCACCGGTATTCCCAGTGGTGCCAGTATCACCTCTATCACCAGACAAACCAGTGTTTCCAGTGGAACCGATATTACCTGTAGAACCAACCGGTCCTATAGGACCTTTTAATCCTTGTATTCCCGGCAAGCCTAATTTATATATTAACAAAAACTTTGATGTTGTTATTGACAATAATTTGTACACATTACTCTATGTAAAAGTATCATTGATTAAATCGTTCTACAACGCATTTTTCCTCACATTTTACTTAAAACTATAGAAAATTTTTAAACGATCGAAATTCTTAAATAAGCAGTTGCTAATAGCGGGAAAACGCAATGCAACTTTAGTTCCGCTTGCTTATCAGCACAGGTAGAGGTAGCCGTTACATTTATCAAGCAGAGCGACATTGGTGACGACGCTACTTTTGAAGCTAAAATGACACCGCTATTATTTACTTTTGAGTCGAAATTTTTTAAACTTTTGAAGCTAAAATGAAACCGCTATCATTTATTGCTTTTGAGTTGAAAATTTTTGGTTATTAGGTCGTGTAAAATAATTACTAATCTTTCAATTCGATAAGTTATGTTAAGTTAAATGGCGTGTTTTGTTTCTATATTTGTTTAATGTTTTATATTTGTTCTGCTTTCTTACTTTGAAACTCCAGTGGTTTGAATTTCATTGTATCCCTAAAAAATACGCGGATTTGATTACAGTAAGAAGTTTTATTTAATTTTAGCACATGATTTTTACATTAACACCTGGTTTTATTACGTGGTTGTAACATGTATTAACAGATGATTAACTAATACGGACAAATATAAACATTGAACGTTGAAAACTGCTTCTTTCGGTACAAAACATAAAATTTCAAAAAGATTAATTTAATAATATATTTTGTGAAATTGGGAACATTTTAGACAATCGGTGTAATTTTTAAAGAACTAACAACAAAGAACCAGATTTCAATCAAAATATTTCTTTCTACAACTATATATATACGAGTTTAAAAAATTGCGATAGCAGTAGAAGTATCGACGCTCTTTTTATAGGTAGCATTTACAACTCTGGCAGTGGTCATTATGGACGCAGCACAGCTCAGTAAGGAGTCATGAGTTGATCCAGCAGTAAGCAGCAGAAAAGCAGTTGTGAAATTAAATTTGAGTTTTGCTCAAAATAACTTGAAGAACATTTGAAAATCAAAATATGGATTTCTTTTTATCATTTTAAACTGAAATTAAACTATAAAATTGTTGAATGTAGAGCACTCGGAGAAATTGACAAGAAAATAATACTCAGCATAGAATAACAAAAATTTAGCAATATGTTGAAAATAAATATTTGAACCTTGTAACCCTTGTTGTCCTTGGAAACCTTGAAAACCTTTTGCACCAATAGGACCTGTATCACCAGGTAATCCTGGATCCCCTCTAACGCCTGGAAGGCCTGGTTGACCCAAAGAACCATTGTTTCCTGGTAGCCCTGCGGGTCCAGGAAGTCCGGGTGGACCAGGATTGCCAAAAGATCCAATATTTCCAGGTAACCCTGTTTCACCAGTCGATCCGGTATCACCATATGGTCCTGCTAGCCCAGGCTGACCCGGAGCACCATCATCTCCATTTGCACCTGTATTTCCTGGAACTCCCAGTTCACCTCTAAGACCTGGACGACCCTGCAAGCCTTGAGGGCCAGGAGAACCTTGTAAACCAGGTGAACCAACTAAACCTGTTCCTCCTTGTACTCCTGTATCTCCTGGTGGCCCGTTGACACCTGGATAGCCCTTCTGTCCAGCTGATCCAGTAGCACCTTTCAAGAAATAGATAGAGTTAGATCAAACAGAAAACAATTCGGAACTCATTTTAACTACCAAATAAAAAATCGGTGAACCAACAAAAAATAATTAATTAAACGCCAATTTAAATAACATTGAGTTTAAAACGAATTACAAATTTTTCATCAATTATATGCTAGATTATATGTCACTTGATGTAACTTATATAAAAAACACAATTCTCAAGCAAAAAACACGTGCTCTTGATTTTGATAAATTTAGTGTAGGAGTGAACCTTTTATTGGTTGTTATAATGTATAGTATTTATTTTTCTATCTTTTTATCAAACGCAAATTTTTTGGACACACCAAACTATTTTCACACGCCAGGCTTGTTGACATGAAATATATAAATATTTTAAATATTTAATTATATAACATTATAAAAAAATACCTATAAATCCAGTAGGTCCAACCGCACCCCGACTCCCAGGATCACCTCTTTGACCAGGCGCACCTTGTTGTCCTTTAAATCCAGTTGCACCGACAGTTCCTGTAGGCCCTGTACTACCAATTAATCCTTGATCTCCAACAAAACCCGTTGACCCCTTTCCGCCTGTATTTCCCAAAGGTCCCAATGATCCAGAAGAACCTGGAAAACCAGGTGCACCTGGATTGCCTGGCAAACCATCTAATCCTTTAGGACCTTCTATTCCTTGCATTCCAACATCTCCGGGAGGCCCAGCTGGTCCTATAACACCAGCTGATCCTTGATATCCCGTGTCACCTTTCGAACCAGTGTTTCCTGTAAATCCTGGAGCACCCTGTGGACCAACTGGACCTGGTGACCCAACAGCCCCTTTATCACCTGTTGAACCTTTTACCCCAGGAACTCCTTGATCTCCCTGTTCACCAGGAAAACCATCTACGCCTACTATTCCTTGAGGTCCTGTATTTCCTGAAGGCCCTGATATTCCCATGGGACCTGATGGACCTGGAAAACCAATTTCACCTGAACTTCCAGTAGATCCGTCAAGCCCTGGCAGACCTGAATTTATTGGATTTTTAAAATTGATCCAATTTAATCATGTTTAAAAAATTAAAAGATCAAAAATTAAAAGTGAATTAAATACCTGGATACCCAACAGGACCCTTGTACCCTGGAAGTCCAGCATCACCAGGTAAGCCGGTAAATCCTATTTCTCCTGGAAAACCAAGAAAACCGGGAAGACCCATTTGTCCAGCATTGCCTGGTAATCCGGTCGGTCCTGTATCTCCGGTATCACCGACAGTGCCTGTATTACCCGGTGATCCTTGAAATCCTGGGATACCTTGAAATCCTTTTGGCCCTTTATCTCCAGGCTCTCCAATTCTACCTGGAGGACCGGGATCACCTGGAAATCCAATTTGTCCAGGAGAACCAATTTGGCCTGGCTCTCCTCTTGGACCTTGATCTCCATTCACTCCAGTTGAACCCCTAGGACCTGGTGAACCAACCAAACCATCGAAACCAATTAGACCTTTTTCACCTGTGTTTCCAGTGGCACCTTGAACACCAGGCTGACCTGAAAATCCTTTTGGTCCTGTCGGACCACGTGTCCCTTGAATTCCAATAAACCCCGGATCACCAGTATTACCTGGAAAGCCTGGGAGCCCAGTAAATCCGACAGATCCTGATGGTCCGGCATTACCTGGCAAACCTTTCAACCCAGGAGAACCAGCATATCCAGTATTACCAGTCGCCCCTGGTAATCCTCTTGAACCTGATTGTCCTCTTGAACCAGAAAGTCCTGGAAGTCCTGGATTTCCTTGATATCCAGGGTTTCCTAACGCCCCTGGCAAACCAGCATCACCAGCAACTCCAGGATCTCCTGCATTTCCTGGAGCCCCAGTATCACCAGTATTACCTGGAAATCCTCTTATACCTGGCTGTCCTGGATAACCGGGAGCGCCACTTTGTCCAACTGGCCCTGGTCCACCTTTTAACCCTGTTGGTCCTTGTAAACCCGGCTCTCCTTGTCTACCTGGATCACCCTGTTTACCTTGTTCTCCTATTAACCCAATCAGTCCCTTAGCTCCTTGTGGACCTATAACACCAAGAATACCATCAATTCCGTTTCTACCAGGAAATCCAGGCAAACCAGGAAATCCAGGCAAACCACGAATACCAGGGTCACCTTGCAAACCCACGAAACCAGGCGATCCACGAGGACCTGCTTGTCCTTGTGCACCATTTGGACCAGTGTCACCTTGGAACCCTGTAAAGCCATTAGCACCTGGTAACCCGGGGAGACCTCTAACTCCGGGATCTCCAAGAGAGCCTTTAAAACCATCAGAGCCTGTGTTTCCTACACTACCATCCTGACCTTTACTCCCAGGAAGTCCTTGTACTCCTGGAGTCCCCGGAGCACCATTAGTTCCTGGTTGACCTCGGTTGCCGTTCGGACCTAAATATTAAGAAAATGATTAATATAAAATAAGGATGAAGAACTACAATAATTGCCTACCTTGAATACCAGGAGATCCAGTATCACCTCTTTCCCCTTGACGACCCTGAGGTCCGGAGTCACCTCGTGAACCAGATGAACCAGTATCTCCTCGTTGTCCTGGAAGTCCCAAAAGACCCTGAACACCATTATCTCCTGAAGGTCCTTTTTGGCCAATGGTTCCTGTGTCTCCAGTCGATCCAGTAGCCCCTGCACTTCCTTTATTTCCCATTAAACCTGTTTGGCCGGTAGCACCTTGCGGACCAGATAATCCAGTCGATCCTGTACTACCTTGAGTTCCAGTAGGACCAGTACCACCTTGATTACCTGGAACTCCTATATTACCATTTGAGCCAGGCAAACCTGGTTGACCTTGAGCACCAACTGCACCTTTAAACCCAGGATTTCCGGGATTTCCAGAGCTTCCAGGACTTCCATTTTCACCTTTCTGGCCAGGTGGCCCTGGACTACCGGTAGCACCTATTAAAATTGCAATAATGTGTCATAGTGAGAAAAAAGCATAACATAATCAATAAACAATGACCTTGTAACCCATTAATTCCATTTAAACCAACTGATCCTGTTGATCCTCGCAGTCCAGCTTGACCAGTAGCACCTTGAACCCCCGGTAGCCCGATCAATCCTGGAGACCCAGCAGTTCCAGATAATCCCATTGGTCCTGGAGTTCCGAGTTGTCCTGTAAGACCCATCGAACCAGGATTTCCTGGAACACCTCTTCCACCAGGTGGACCAATTTGACCAATATCTCCCTGTAGACCCCTTGGTCCTGTGGCACCAGGTTGACCAAGAGTACCTTGTAAACCTTGTTCTCCAGTATTACCTACTTGACCTGGCTGACCATTTGGTCCTGGCGAACCTACAGGTCCTGGATATCCTTTTGAACCTTTAACACCTAGAAAATTTTGTATTTCAAATTATTTAATATGCAAAAAAAACGTACATATTATGAAAAAATTTCTTATTCATACTTATTTTATTTTATTAATATTTTTCAATATTCATTCTCTGTCAAACGCAGAATATGTGAAAACATGCAAGAAAATACTTAAATAAATAATAAGAAATGAAATGACAAAGGATTTAAAACAAATGTAAAAAAATGAAATAATGCATTGTCAACACAGGTTAGATAATACAATTAGATTAATGAAAAAAATTGGATTTTTACGAAAAAAAAAATAAATAATTAAAATGATAAATAAGTTGAAAAATAATTAAATATTTTTAATTGTACCCTTTTAGAGTTGAAAAATAATGCAGATTATTAGACAAATGAGACGACTAGAGGATAAGAAGGTAGAAAGACAATGTTAAAAAGCACAAAAAAATAAATATACAGATGTATACATAATATGCATGTGACTAAACAACTTCCCTACCGATTAATTTTTTGGCACTGGGTCAAAAAATGAGTAAATTTTCTGTTTATTTTATTAACAGGTATAAAACTAATTTTTATTCAAATTAGTCAATAACTTTTGTGTGTGATAAAACAGCCAACAAATATTGCTACATCAGAATCTGCCAATAATATCTTCTTTCTTAATTAACCAATACTTTTCAGAGAGCAGCAAACTTTGAACTGGCGTGCATGAAGGGAACTTGGAGGAAGACCAACGCAAAGAAAAATAAAGAGAGAAATTGTACACGTAAAAAAAAATAAAAAAAAAACAAAAACATTTATAAAAATATTTGTAAAAATTGTAAATACATTCTGTAAAATTAGTTCACATTACGAAATTTTCTACAAAGAGAAACAATTTTGTGAAGGATAGAGTATAAAATTAGCAGAAAATAGTTATATATGTTATGATAAATACCTCAAATTACAAAAACAAAACGAATATTATTTAAAATTTAAATAACGTGGCAAAGCAAACATGGAACGAAAGCATTTTGCAAATTCGGAATAAAAGCGTTGCGCGAAATAAAAACCTACGCTTAATAATTCAGAAAAAATATTGTTTAATATTTAAAAATATATTTTTTTTAAATAATATTTAAATGCACATAAATAAATTAATAAACTTAACAAAACAGAATTAGTTCTCAGATAATTAAATTCATAGCAACCAGCATTTATAAAAATTAACAAAGTTTTCATACTCTTTGAACTATGTAAAAATATTAAAATAATTATATATTTCACAGTTCAATTAGGTTAGTATGAAAATGTAACCTTTTCTGATAAAAATCGATAAAAAATATAGGCATAATCAAATCTAAACCAGCCAATACAAACGACAGAAAAAAGAAAAAAAATGGTGAAACATCAAACTAACCTTGAGGTCCCACCAATCCTGGTAATCCTGAATCTCCTCTATCACCTCTGACACCATCAGGTCCTTGAGCTCCAGGAAACCCTGTGTTTCCAATTTGACCGGACGGACCAGTATTACCGAAACGCCCTGGCATGCCCTGAATTCCAGTGGAACCTGTACTACCTGTACTACCCACTGAACCTTGTGGTCCAATGTCACCTGGGCTACCTGGCAAACCAGTCTGGCCAGTGGATCCTTGAAAAAACGTGTTGAAAATCAATGTCAGTTCAATATTAACATGATTAACACCATTCAATTTAATATAATAATTAAAGAAGTGATAATATATTGGAATACTTTGAGGACTGTTCAGCATTAAGGTGTTTGTTTCTTATAATTTTGTAAACTGATAAATTGTGCTAAAACGTTTACATTCCGAAACAATATAAAAATACATTTATGCATTATCACATGTAGTGCAAACACACCAATTTGTCCATTGACACCAGGGGAGCCTGTGGATCCCGCATCACCTTTAAGTCCTTTATAACCAGGGTAACCTGGTTGGCCTTGTGACCCTGGCTGACCTTGTTGACCTGAATTTCCAGTAGCGCCAGCCGAACCGATCGGTCCTGGATCTCCGATGAAACCAGGCTGGCCGGGCTGGCCTGAAACTCCAGTAGAACCAGTAGCACCTCTTTGACCAGGATTTCCAAAAACTCCTTGCTGTCCACTGGAACCTCGTTGTCCCGCCAAACCCTAAAAACACAATTCAAAACTTTAGGAGTAAATTAATTTTAAAATTCAACATTTAAACATTCTATTTCATCAAATCAAATCAAAGAAATTCATGTATTGAAATGATCTGGCAAACAAAAAGAATTGTTCTTGTAACGGCCACCAGCCAGTTAGATATTTAAAAACAATATGTTCAAATAGTACATTTTCACACATACACATGTGTACCCTCACATACACCCATGCCTTACCTCGGTTAATAACAGTTTAAATAACTTAAATGAACTTACAGAAGCTCCAGTGGCACCAGTGTTTCCTGGCAAGCCAGTGTCGCCAATTGGGCCATAATCTCCTCTATCTCCTTGACGTCCACTGCTACCTGAAAAACCTGGCTGACCAGGCGACCCTGGAGATCCATTTATTCCTGGCTGCCCAGATTGACCTTGCACTCCTGAATCGCCCAATGTTCCTGGAACACCCGTGTTACCAGTTGCACCTGTATCCCCACTGGCACCAGTTGCACCACTAGCTCCAGACTGACCAGATGAGCCAGTAGTACCAGTGTCTCCTCGACTTCCTTGATTACCAGGTAGACCAGATGGACCTAAAAGCAGAAAAATAATCTTAATATTTGTTTGAAATTAAAATATTTTTTACAAATGTTTGAAAAATAACTTGTTTCAATTTCATTTTAGCTAATACAACAAAAGCAAAAAAAAATGAAAAAAACAATGAATTTGTTAAAATTTAAAAACCATGAAGTGTTATGTAGAGCTAGTATAAAACATCCCAAACATAAATTCTAAGATTGATGAAGATAAACAATAATACTGAAGTTATAATGCAAATGTGCAACAAATTTATCAAAAGTTGCTCAAGCTTATATTGAATCATTCTAACGTTTACTCATTGACGAACAAAGAGAAGGACAAATTTAAGAATGTAAAACGAAAATAATAGCACGCAAACAAGAATCTAACCTTGATTGCCGATAGATCCGGGATCACCGGAGAAACCTATGTCCCCGCTAGCCCCTGTGTCACCAATGCCACCTCTAAGTCCATTTTGACCTATTGGACCCGATGTACCTGTATCTCCTTTTTGGCCGGCAGGACCTACTGGTCCAGGTAAACCGGGTTGGCCTGACTGACCTGGGTCACCCTTTAACCCTGGTAATCCAATAAAACCTTTCTGACCAATATTTCCAGGCAAACCAGTTGCTCCTGCTAGACCTTGTGCCCCAATATCTCCTCTGGGACCTTGAATCCCATTTGAACCTGTCGGTCCAACAGGTCCAATCATCCCAGGAAATCCCTTCAGTCCTAAATATACAAAATTCAAAATTTATTGAGTAAAAATCAAAGCAACACTTCAACATAATTAACCTGAAGAGCCATCAATCCCAGGTAATCCAGGTGAACCAGGTCTACCTTTTGAACCAAAAGCACCATTCTGTCCTGGAGAACCGGCCTCACCTACTGGACCGGGCTGTCCAGTGTTTCCAGGAACACCTGAACAAATAATAAGAAATAAGTTACATAACATGCATACATACACAAATATATAAACAAATATACCATAAAAACAACCAAATGAATTAAAAAAATTGAAAATTTACGCCTACCGGTTGCACCCCTAGGTCCTGCTTGACCAATAGACCCAAGAAGCCCTTGTAAACCTGGCTGACCAGGATCGCCGCTAAATCCCGGTTGGCCGGTATTTCCTGGTAATCCAGGAGAACCAGGATTTCCTGAAGATCCTGTTTGCCCAACGGGTCCTTGAAGTCCAATAGAACCAACTGGTCCAGGTAAACCGGTTGGACCTACAACAACAAATTTTAGGTTGATTACAAGCATTATTGTGTACAACAAATAGCAGCATTTAAAAAATATTTCTGAGATTTATCTAATTGATAAAAAAAAACAAGTAGAATGTGATGTTCATGTCATTCTTTCAAATCTACATTATAAAAGTTAAAAGTATATTGTTGAAATTGTTGAAATAAAATTATACAAACCTTTTGGTCCCGGGAGACCAGTTGACCCTTGCAAACCAATCATTCCTTGTTGACCAGGAGGTCCAGAAATTCCCTGTTGACCTACACTTCCTGGTACACCAGGATCACCTGGCAATCCTTTCATACCGGCTTGTCCTTTTGATCCTGGTGACCCATTCAAACCAGTATCACCAACCAAACCAGGATTACCAGGATATCCTGGTGGCCCTAAAAATTTAATAATCATTTAATGAATTCCGTGATTTATATAAACAAGCATACTAAATACCTATTAGTCCGAAGTTTCCAGAAGATCCTGTATTTCCTGGATCTCCAGATACACCAGATAATCCTGTAGAACCCTGAAGACCTTGAAAACCTAACAATCCTGTGGCTCCGCTGGCACCAGTTGGACCATCTTGTCCTGGTAATCCTATTGATCCCGTTAAACCTTTATCTCCTCGAGGACCCTGAAAACCAGGTTGCCCGGTAATTCCTGTGCTACCTGTGCCTCCGGTAAAACCAACATTTCCAGGGAAACCTGTTCCTCCAGTGTTTCCAGTATATCCAACAAACCCTGAGAATATAGAAAACTAAATGAAAAATAAATCGAGATATTATTGATCTTTTTTTCACTTTAGTTTACTCCATTTATGCAGAAAGAATTATCATCATTTACAATATGTTTAATAAAATGTTCGCCTAAATTTCAGCGCGAAATTTATTTCAATACTCGTAAAAAACGTGTCACAAATTAAAAAAATTACAAATTAAAATATACCTTGAACACCAGGTGATCCAGGAAAACCGACGAGGCCAGGTTGGCCTTGCTGTCCAGGATCACCTTTTGCTCCGGACTGACCTTGGGAACCAGTTAAACCCTTAGATCCACTTGATCCTGTATCTCCTTGGGCTCCACTTTGACCAGTAAGTCCATTTGCTCCATCTGGTCCTCTTAATCCTGGTTGTCCGGTAGCTCCTAGATTCCCAGTGTCCCCAACTAATCCTTTTTTAAGACAAAAAATTAAGTTTTTTCAAATAAAAGACAACTAGAACATTTAACATTTTTCAAAATAAATTTAATTTAGACTTTAATAGAAATATCACAACAGTAACACTTTAATACAGATATCAAAACACAAAATTATTATGATTGAAAAATGAATACCCTTTTGCCCTGGTTCACCAATGCTTCCCACATTCCCAGCAGCACCATTCGGACCAGTATCACCGGTAAATCCAACAGATCCTTGTTGTCCTGACACTCCAGGTGCACCACTCAAACCTAAATCTCCAGGTTGACCCGGGTTTCCAGTAGACCCCTGAAGACCTGTTGCACCTGGCTGCCCAGGCAGACCAACAGCACCAGATGAACCAGAAGGTCCAGAGGATCCACTATCTCCAGGCAACCCTGGAGATCCTACTTGACCAGGAAACCCGACTTCGCCTCTCAAGCCTTGAACACCCATGCTGCCAATCATTCCAGGTGATCCAGATGTTCCAGCATTTCCTCTTTCCCCGGGTTGTCCAGGTATTCCCATCTGGCCTAAAGTAAAAAGCTTAATTAGTAAATGCGAATAAGATTTTCGCAAATATTTGCTAATCTAATTTTAAATAAATTATAAAACAAAACGTAAAAATATAAACCTGGTGATCCAGGCAATCCAATGAAGCCACTAGAGCCAGTGTCTCCAACTAGCCCAGGAGCACCAAGGGATCCAGGTAATCCACTAGCACCTGTAAATCCCGTGCCACCATCTTGACCAGTTAATCCGGTTGCACCAGTTGAACCAGGATTGCCATAACTTCCGGGAGCTCCCCTTAAACCAGGATCACCTCTGGGTCCTGATGGCCCAGGTATGCCGGGATAACCGGAAGGACCAACTGGACCAATCTGTCCAGGAGAGCCAATAGGACCTTTAATCATTGTTATATTCAACTTAATAAAAATCGCACTATCATTTAAAATTCACAGGTTATGACAAAATTTGAGAACTTTAGAAGTTTTATGATTATGTATTGAACATTTTTTTGTTGGGATTACGAAAACCATATCTTTGCACCAGTTAGTCTTTTTCCATGCTAACGTTATTGTCAATTTGCAAAATCATCAAATTCACGTTCAATTTTTTTAAATTATTCGTTTCAACTTGGATTTAAAAATACTCTTTCTTTGTAAAATTACTGTTTTTTTCTCAAAAATTATATAATTTTAAAATAAGTGTATGCACGGAGAAACTAGACTAATATATATCATTATAACATACATCAACTTACTAAAAGACTAATTCTTATTATATTTCTTTCAAATATTAAGTTTTAAAGCGGAGGGGGCACTAAAAATTTTTTTTTCCTAAAAGTGGGCGGTTGAAGAAACAAGTTTGAGAACCACTGGTCTTTAATTTTAACTGAACACAGGCGGCATGCATATGTAATGTTATAAAAATGGAAAACAAATTATAGCTAGCATAAAAAAAAGTAGATAACGAAAATGTTGACTTATAAAGCGCCCTGGCAAGCGACTGAAGCGCCCTCAAAACAAAAAACACCCTCTGTCAGACCTGTAAAAACGCTTTATCAAAATAAAAAGTTTTTAATGACGACTTGAATGACTGTGTAGAGTTGCAGTTCCTAATCTTTCGCGGAAGCGAATTCCAAACGTAAGGAGCAGCATGTCGGAATGCACGACCAGCAATATTGTTCGCTGTTTTATGCCGATGAAAACGTAGAGCGATGGCAGAGCGAAGTTGACGATTGTTTGTATTTCTATGTAAAAAATCACCGAGATACGACGGTGAATGCGAGATTGAAAGTTTGAAGACGATGACAGCTATTTTAAATAAAACACGAAAGTGAAATGGAAGGGAAGACGATGTAACGGTCTATCTAGATTGAGTACTACTCTAGCGGCTCTATTCATTATTCTCTGGAGACGTAATTCTTGACTTTTAGATATTCCATATAACCCAAAATTGCAGTAGTCCAATTTGGACAGTTTCAAACACCGTGCCAGAACACTAGCCACGTCGGTAGAAAGAAACTAATATGTCGTATTTCTCTTAAATGATTATTACAGAAATTGACAAACTTTTGAAATCATTTTTATTAGCAAACAAATCAAAAACCTTGGAATCCACTTGATCCAGTGGATCCAACACTACCAGGATCCCCATTATAACCAGGATATCCTTTCTGACCGGATGCACCAGTGCCACCTCTCTGACCAATAGATCCAGGTTCTCCAGCCAAACCGGATGCTCCCGTCTCCCCTTTTAATCCTGGCAGTCCAGTAGCACCAGGAGTTCCTATCATACCGGACATACCTCGTTGGCCTACAGCACCAGTAAATCCAGGCTCACCACGTGTTCCAGGCGATCCAATACTTCCTGGTTGACCTAACCAAACAAACATTTTATGTGGAAAGCAATTTACTTTATTATTTGAAAATTTAATTTACCTGGAGTTCCAGAAGCTCCTGTATCACCGGGAGTACCGGTGGATCCAATTTGACCTACAATTCCTCTTTCTCCTTGTCGACCAGTAGAACCGAAGCTGCCAGCAGGACCAGGAAGACCAGATGAGCCAGTAAACCCAGATGCTCCTGTTGACCCTAGTGATCCTGGAAGTCCTGAAGATCCTGTAAATCCTATTTCACCAGGGGTTCCCGGTAGGCCATTGGATCCAGAAGCACCAGTTAATCCAGTGGCACCGACTGCTCCAATAGGTCCCGGCAAGCCAGGTGAACCTGGTTGGCCAGGATTACCACCTGACCCAGGTTGGCCAACGACACCTTTTCATTTTAAATGTAATAAACAATATTTGCAAATGATTCTTATTAATAAATAATATCAATCGGTTAAAAGTGTAAAAATTAAGTTACTACACCATCAAACAATTATAAAATAACCAGAATTTCCCATAGGTCCTGTAGCTCCAGGAAGACCAGGAGATCCAATGCTTCCTTGAAATCCCGGATCTCCCCGTTGTCCGGAAAAACCAGTTGGTCCTGTAGGTCCAGCCATTCCTCTCAAACCTTGCAACCCTGGCTGACCTGCAACTCCAGGGAGTCCTTAAAAATTCATCAGGAACAGTTATTAGAAGCTTATTAATACATTAAAAAATATTTTTGCAATTAATAACCAAACAATTCCACATTAAACTACCTTGATTTCCAGTTTCTCCAGTATCACCGACAATGCCCTGGTCCCCAGTGGTACCTGTCTGTCCAGTTGAACCAGTAAATCCTTGACCTCCCGGTTGACCTGGTGTCCCAGATAATCCTTTCAAACCAGCTTGACCTGGACTGCCAGGTAAACCAACAGCACCGCTTGCACCTGTGTCACCTACTAAACCCAAGATTCCTTTGTTTCCAGGGTTTCCTGGAGAACCAGTCTCTCCTCGGGGACCAGGTTGTCCACTGTTTCCAGTATCACCTTTTGAAAATTGGAATAAAAAGTTTAATTAGCAAAACCATTCTGAGCATTAGAAAACATTATTCTGAAAACCACCCTAACATTATTTCACAAAAAAATTTTAACCTATTGCTCCTGCTGCTCCAGGTGAACCGTTAATTCCTGGAGGTCCTTGTTGTCCTGGAATTCCCTGTGATCCTGGTACCCCAGTAGTACCAGCTTGACCAGTGAAACCAGTTGATCCTGAGTAACAGTGTCCCATTTAATATGAATATTATGACATGAGAGTAATTTCTAGTTTGCAATTCACTAGAAATGTATAAAAGCAAAACGACAGTTCATATTTACTCAAACGAATATAGAATTAAACGTTATAATTTACAAGGAGACCTGAAGTTACCACTTGTTGGGCCACTCATAATGGAAACAAAAAATGTTTGCATACACTTCAACAGAAATAGGAATAAAAAAAATTGAACAACATATGAACATCATAAATGAATGAGATGCAAACAAAAAGAAAAAAGAATGCAGATTGTCAACTTCTAATAAACAGAAACATGAATGAATAGATGAATTAAACAAATAACTTATGAACTAATGAACAAAGAAAAATGATTTGTTAAAATTAATTGTTAAATATAATTTTCAAATGAACCGGTGTAATTGAGTTTTTTTGCATGGATGTGTAATAAGTGACAGAAGCGACTAAAAACATTAAAAAACTGAATTATTCAAACATTTGTGCGAGATTTAGGATAAAAAACAAGGTTATGTATATACACAATACAATACAATATTTTTATTTTCTTTCAAACAAAAATTAAAAGAGCATGGCTATGTTCTAAATATCGAGCAACTTACAAACCAATATTTTGTAAGCAGTTCTAAACAGAACCGCATACAAGATATTTTGTATGCAGTTCTTTTTGTATATTATGCAAAACATTTAAATAAATGTGTGGTACTCTATTGCAACTTATTTTTTATTACATGAAACAATGTTCAAATAAGTATCAACAACTATTAACCAATGGCGCCTTTAAATCCAGCTGGACCAGAAAGACCAACAGTTCCACGTGGTCCTTGTAAACCTCTTGATCCAGGAAGACCAGTGCTGCCTGGTGTCCCGGTGTCACCTGTTGACCCTTTCTTTCCTGGCACACCGAATGAACCAGTAACACCTATTCCTCCTCTTAGACCTGGAGTGCCTGGACTACCATTTGAACCTAAAAACAATTGAATTAAGAAATAAATTAGATGCATTGATAGCTAGTTTTGTACAATAAGTAAGCTAACCAAGATTTCCAGGAAACCCAGTATCACCAGTTGGTCCAGGATTTCCAGTTGGTCCTGGTTCACCTTTTGATCCTGTTAGACCAGGCATTCCTGGCTGACCAGTCTCACCAACATTTCCTCTCAACCCAGGAGTTCCATTTGGTCCTCGTACACCCTCTGACCCCATTTGACCTGGTTGACCGTTAACACCAATACCTGGCGCGCCAGTGGCTCCTGGGCTACCAGGCGAACCATTCAAACCAGGAGAACCATTCATACCAGGAGCACCTGTAGGCCCAGTATCTCCTCTATCACCGGAAAAACCAGTAGCACCATTTACGCCTGGATAACCTGGCAAACCCATTTCTCCTCTATCTCCAGATAAACCTTGAGGTCCAGGACTTCCATCTAATCCAACTGGACCAGGATCACCTCGTTGTCCAAGAATACCGGGAAGGCCTTGTGTTCCAGTATTTCCCGGTTCACCAGTTTTTCCAGGTGGTCCAAGTAAACCTGGTTCTCCAATATTTCCATTAACACCTGGATTGCCAACAGACCCGGTATTACCAGCAGGACCAACAAAACCAGTTTCTCCTGTTGCTCCTGGATTCCCATTAAAACCTTGTTGCCCGGAGAGACCCGGATTTCCAATTAATCCAGGAGAGCCTTTAACACCAAGCGGGCCTGGAGATCCAATCTGACCTGGTGCACCAATTGATCCTGGTGAACCAGTGTTGCCAGAAAAACCAGTATTACCAGCAATACCTGGTGGTCCATTTTGTCCAGAAAAACCGACAGGCCCTGAATTATTAAAACAATTAAAATACATAAAAGCGTAAATAATTTAATTTAAAAATTTTACCTTTAGGACCAGGATCACCTCTAGGACCTAGATCACCTTGTGCCCCCATTATTCCAGTGCTACCTGTTGATCCGGCGACACCAACAGATCCAGGCATTCCAGCTAAACCTGATGATCCAGTAGCTCCTGTATTGCCAGGAGTTCCCTGGTTCCCATCTACACCTTTAGGACCTTGGAGACCCTGTTGACCTGGAGATCCCGTAAAACCAGGTTCACCTCTCATCCCATTAAGACCTGGTGAGCCTGTCAGTCCTAAAATTTGAAATAAAGCAATTTCAAAAATAACAAATCTAGAAAATAAAGAAGAATTTATTTATTTATTCCATGACTGACCAGAGGACCACAAGGACCACTTAGCCAGTCCAGAGTCCAGAAAAACAAAGAAAATAATTTTCAATTAAACAAAATGGCAAATAGATGAACGAAAACATTAAAAAAAGTCACGTTATAATATTTACAATTGTCATTCATTGAATAACGAGTAATTTTTGTCTATCTATACTACATACACACGACTATCCACACGCACACGCGCGCGCACACAAGATCTTTAAAATACTCGACAGGCGTTAAAACGTGATGACTTGCAGTTCTAGATGATGACACGAATGAGAACATTTGTTGGGAAAGTAAGGAGCAATAAAATGAATATTTTTTTCCAATGTACTCCTTCAGAGAAACCGAAGTCTAGCAACGTAAAAATGCATTTGCAAGTTCAGGAGAGAACAAAGATAGGTATGTTAAACAAACCTAGTTAAGCCTCAAATTTATTAAATATTATTTTATAAAAATCACAAATCACTGATAATAAAAGTAACAGTAATGAAATATTAATAAATTATAGTACACAATAGAATGTCGATTTAAATATTAATAACAAAAGAAAACAATAATTAAATAACTAAAAAAACCTGATGATCCAATTTTGCCTGCAGGTCCTGTAGCACCAGTATCTCCACTTTGCCCCAAAACTCCTCCATTACCAGGCTGTCCAGGATTACCTGGTTGTCCCGTATTTCCAGTATTACCTTTTTCACCTTGAACTCCTTGAGGTCCTTGAAGACCATTGTCCCCTTGAAATCCAGGATCTCCTATAAACCCAGATAAACCAACAATGCCAGTAGCACCTGTTGGCCCAGGTAATCCCAGACTTCCTGGTGCTCCTATTGGTCCCGAATAACCAGTTGAACCTTTTGCGCCAGAAAGTCCTGTTTGACCATTTATTCCAGGAACCCCATTAGAACCCCTTAGGCCTTGTAAACCAGGTGGCCCACTTGCACCAGGATTACCAGGTACACCTGTACTTCCAATAGGCCCAATGACTCCAGCAGGCCCTGGCTGACCCTTCAAGCCTTGTAGTCCAGTGGCTCCTGGAATAATCAACAAACATTTACAACAGTAAAAAATAAGAATAACATTTGATTACAGATTTTATTAAATTATACGGTCTTTTTTATAATAAAAAAATATGAATAATAATAAAAATAATAAAAAAATTAATATCACCAAAACGGTTTTTATTATGAATGATAATATTTAATCATCATCAATCACATAATCATTACCTGTTCCTCCATTTGGACCTAGTTCACCAATGCTACCAACATTTCCTAGAGGCCCAGTATCACCTCTAAGACCAGGTGATCCAGGTGAGCCGTTCTGTCCGGCATTACCAGAAGAACCTGTGTCCCCAGAGCTTCCTTTCAATCCTGTAGCACCTGTGCCTCCTTGAACACCATCCGTTCCTTGACGACCTGTATTTCCTTTCAAACCATCAGCTCCACGCGCACCAGGTTGCCCCATTTGACCAGTAGCACCGACAACCCCTTGGAAATAAGTTATTTTATTAAAAATCTAAAAACTCGGTTTAAATAAGTTAAAAAAAATTAAAATTGCTAAAATTTATTTATCACTTTTAAGAATGAACATCGACAAAATAATAAAAACCATTTGTTCCTGGAGATCCAGGAAGACCAGGATTTCCTGAAGATCCTGGAACACCAGGTTGACCAGGTAATCCAACATAACCTGTGTTACCTGGCAATCCAGATGGTCCAGCTAGACCAATTGAACCTGCAACTCCCTGTATACCTGGATCTCCTCGAAAACCTTGTAGACCAGAAGCACCAGAAATTCCATTTGGTCCTCTTGCACCAGGTAATCCAATGAAACCAGGCACGCCAGAAGATCCAATATCACCTGGAGCACCTTTTCCTCCTGTAAAACCAGGCTGTCCAACCTCTCCCAATCTTCCGGGATTTCCTACCTGACCTGGCTGACCGGGAACACCTTGCGGTCCTGGTAGCAATATGAAATAACAAATAGTACCACAAATATATTTATATTAAAAAGTTATTTTATTGTCATATTAAATATTTTTTAAACAAAATAATTTTACTATTGAATAAACATAATGCTCAGAGTACCTTGATTTCCATTTGGACCAGTATCACCAGTAGGGCCTAAAGATCCTGGAAAACCTGGTTGGCCATCTGATCCTTTTACACCATCATTTCCACGAGGTCCAACATTACCTGGTAATCCTGGAAAACCAGTGGGTCCAGGATTACCAGGATTTCCATTTAACCCCCGTTCACCTTGCCTTCCCTGGTCTCCAGTAGATCCTGTAGATCCAACATTTCCTTGATTTCCGGGACTACCAACAGTACCTTGCAAACCTGTTGAACCAGTTGCTCCAATTGATCCAACATTACCAGATTGACCAATATTACCTGTCGCTCCAGGATTCCCAGGCTGACCCATATTCCCTGGAACGCCTGGCATTCCAGGTTCTCCAATTGTACCTGGAGAGCCTGTATCCCCAGTAGCACCATTAGGACCCAAAGCACCATTACTACCAGTCAAGCCTAGCAGAAAAAAATTGTGAAATCATTTACGTAAGTCAAAAAATGTTATATCTACTATCAATAAATATTTTAACCTGGTAATCCTTTTGAACCAGGAGACCCTGATGCACCAACAACTCCAACTTTACCAGGTAACCCTTGCAAACCAGTGGGCCCTATAGATCCAAGTGGACCAGTGTTCCCAGGAAGACCTTGAATTCCAGTGTCACCCGTATTACCAACTAATCCGGGGTTTCCAGGGTTACCTGGTGAGCCACTACTTCCCTTTTCTCCTGAAGTTCCAGTATCTCCTGTTAATCCTTTCAAACCTATTAAAAACATAATCATTTTAAAATATATTTTAGAATTCACGTTGTTTAGATGGAATAGTTCAAAAACCATTATAATAAAAACCATTATATATTAAATAAGGTTTCAATTGAAACAACCTTGCGCTCCTTGACTGCCCGGAGGACCTGGAAGTCCAGAATTACCATCTTGTCCTCTTAATCCAGAGTCACCAACTGACCCTTTGAAACCTGAAACCCCAATTGGACCGGTATCACCCCGATTGCCAGGAACACCAACTTGTCCATTTGTTCCAGAGGATCCTGTATCACCACGATCACCTTTATTTCCAGGAAGCCCAACAATTCCTGGTTGACCTGGTATACCAATAAACCCTGGATCACCAGATGCTCCCGTATTTCCAGGTGCACCTTGCAGTCCTGTAAAATATGATTGGGACTAGAAATTTAATATTGTTGAGTAAACTAAAATTTAATTAAACCTGAATTTCCTGGATTTCCCGGGTTTCCTCTGGGTCCAGGATCTCCTCTAGAACCAACAACACCGTTTGATCCAACTTGTCCAGGTTGTCCAGGCATCCCAAGAGCTCCTGGTGAACCTGGATATCCAGGGTTTCCAGTCAATCCTTTAGGACCAATATTTCCCTGTAAACCAGATGAACCAGTATCGCCCGTTGCCCCATTAGTTCCAGGCAGACCTTCAATTAAATGTATACAAAATAATTTTTGTAATCAGATTGGATAAATCTTCCTTAGCGGTAAATATCACAGCTGAACTGGAAACAAACTACCAGCTTAATTCACTATATCAGCGCCATTTTCCAAAAAATCGAACCATAGCAATACATAACAATCAAATTAAAAGAACAGATGAAATAAATGAAAATTATTTACCTGTGGCACCAACTGCTCCGACAAAACCAGGTAACCCAGGAACTCCTTGAGCTCCAGCTTGTGGATTTGGTGCTGGATCACCTGTATCTCCAGGCGACCCTTGTGCACCTAACAGTCCTGGAGAGCCAGGTACGCCATTAATCCCTGGTAACCCCACTGCACCGTTTAAACCATTGCTACCTAAAGTAGTTTTTTAAATTAAAAAGGTCTTTAAAAAAATACATTCTATTTAGAAACAATTGATTAATAAAGTTGAAAAGCTTGTACAAAAAACCATTTTATTTAAAAAAAATTAATATTGTTACAGACGTGAGATAGAGATAAAAACTAACAGTTAGAAATGGTTATTCATGCATTGAAGAATGAACTGCTTGTAAATTAATTAGAAGGTTGTAAAATATTTAGGTTGAAAATTCATCAATCTTTATGGGGCACATTTACAAGCAGATCGGTAGCTATATAAAGAACGAAGAAGCGAGAAGAAAAAAAAAGAAAGAGGAAGAAGACGGAACACAGGGAACTGGAAGTGAGATTCGATGCGAAATCGTAAATGTGATTTACGTAGTTATTTGAATAATTCAACACACTCAATTCAAGACTGATCGAGAAAGTAGAAAATAACAACAACCACGTCATCCATCCTCTACAACCACCAATTAAAACTACAACACACAAACTTCGTCAGCGCAAACATAACTATCAAGTCGCCACCCAATCTACATATCAGCAAAAGGTTTACATCACAAAACACCTTAAACATATTAACACTCAATAAAACTTTATCATTCACACAACTAGTTTTTATTTAATAAAACTTTATCATTCACACAACTAGTTTTTATTTTATTTATCGACCACCTCATTGTTATTGTGCTGAATTCTAACGATTTTAACGATTGAATAAACGAGTAATTGATAAAGTTCATCTCAAATGAGTCTGTTCAGGGGTCAGGAATCCACGTAGAGAGAAATAACCATACCCTACAAGTTCAAGGGTCGGTTATAACAATATGTACAGTTGTAATCTTATAAGTTTTATAAACTTTAAGATAGAGACATGATAGAACTAGTTAATGAGATAATTTGAAAAATTTTGAAAATTATTATTGACAAAAATAAAAAACAACTTCTACTTTAAAATACTTGGAGATATAAAATTGTTATTTACCAGTTTGCCCAGTACCACCAGTGAAACCCTGACTTCCTGGTGATCCAGCCAAGCCAGTATCTCCAGTGGATCCTTTGTTTCCCATTGCTCCTGGATTACCAGGTAAACCATTTAATCCTGGAGAGCCCGTATCACCAGAAAATCCTAACAAACCTGGCAAACCAGTAGAACCAGGTGCTCCAGCAAAACCTGTAGAGCCTTGGATGCCTGGATTACCCTGTGATCCAGTTGGACCTTGCAATCCCTGTGGACCAGGGTTACCTGTTGAACCCGTTGAACCAGGCACACCCGTAGAACCACTTGCACCTCTGCTTCCTTGAGAACCAGTCGATCCTGTTGAACCTGGGTCCCCTCTAGCACCAGACAAACCTGGAGATCCAGATAAGCCTTTTATCCCTTGATCCCCTTTAAATCCCGGTAAACCAGTGGCTCCTAGTTATTATTCAAATATTAAATGTCCAATCAAAACATTTAGAAATAAAATTAATAATGTGGTTGTAAATTTGAACAGTCTTATTATCTAAAAACCAGGAAGTGTAACCTGTGGAACCAGTTGAACCAGTGTTCCCAGTTAAACCAGCATCTCCAATAGAACCTGGACTACCTGGAACTCCATCTGCTCCGGCATTACCAGCAGGACCAGTGTCTCCTCGACCACCTGGTAAACCTGTCAAACCTGCATCACCTTTCTGACCATTGCCACCAGCTGCACCTTGAAGTCCGATTGGACCGGTTGCACCAGTTGGTCCAATTGAACCAGGATTGCCAGGCAAGCCTGGATTCCCAGATTGACCTGGAATTCCCGAATCACCAGTCGCTCCTTTTGATCCAAAATTGCCATCTGGTCCCGTTTGTCCAGGAAATCCATCAGGACCTTTTAAACCTTTCAACCCAAGTTCACCTGTGCTTCCTATCGAGCCAGCAACACCTTGAAGACCAGGATCTCCCTGACGACCTGGAGATCCTGGATCACCAACTGGACCTTTCAAGCCAGGCAAACCATTTGGACCTGCTAGTCCAGGTTGTCCATTCTGACCAGGTATTCCTTGCAGACCAGTAAAACCTAATGAAATATGTTCACAAATCATTTAACCATGCAAAATGTATTCTACTTATAAACCGTTGTAAATTTGGTAAATTGTAAAAATTGTAGTACTAAGAAGAAACTTTATGTTTAAGAACTATTAAATTTAATTATCTATAAAAAATAAATTATTAAACAATATATTTATAAGGTTATATTTTGCTAGTTTAAATCTATATTTAACATTAAACAACAAAATACAATTCAATTTGAACAATGTGATGTGAAAAAAAGCTAGAAATACAAAATAATACCTTGAATGCCGGGTTGTCCATTAATTCCTGGTGGTCCTGATATACCCTCAACTCCTGAAGTTCCAATAGGACCTTTTACTCCTGCTTGGCCAATTGAACCTGGGTTCCCAGGAAGACCAATTAAACCAGTGTCACCAGTTGACCCTGTAAAGCCTTGCAGCCCATTAGCGCCATTGGAACCAGTGAATCCAGGTTCACCCCTCACTCCAGGAAAACCAGGTTGCCCTGCTTGACCCACAGCTCCAGGTTGGCCAGATGCTCCTGTTGACCCAGATAAGCCTTGCTGACCTGAATTTAGTGTGGTTAAATTTATATAATGATGTTCGCAATATCTTTTTAAATATATAATAGATTTCACCTGTTGATCCTTGTAAGCCTGTTGAGCCTGTGTTTCCCATAAAACCAGTATTCCCAGTATCTCCCCTATCTCCAGGTAAACCAATTGATCCTTGAAGACCTCGATTACCTGGAGAACCTGGTGATCCAGGAAATCCGATTGGACCAGGTGAACCAGCAAGCCCCGGTAATCCCATTAAACCAAGTGATCCTGGTGATCCGGTTGCACCAGTGTTACCAGTGAATCCTTAACAGAAGAAGTTTTTGTATTATCAACATAATTATCTACGCAAAAATAACAAACCTTGAGGTCCAGCTTGGCCACTTGACCCAGTATTTCCTTGATCACCTTTTGTACCAGGAGGTCCTGAAGTCCCAGATAATCCTTGTGGTCCAGGAGATCCTGGTTGTCCATTTTGGCCTGGATTTCCTATTAAGCCTAAGTTTCCAGGGCTACCTGATGAGCCAGTATCACCTGGTAGACCTTTATCGCCAGGTTGACCATCCAATCCTGGCATTCCAACTTGACCCTTATCACCTTTTACTCCCTTTTGACCAACTGTTCCAGGAGAGCCTGGTGGGCCAGGTAAACCAGTAGATCCTTGATTTCCAGTATTTCCCTGTTCACCTTTAGAGCCTGGGAGCCCAGATAATCCACTATCACCAACTATGCCCCTAGGTCCTAAACTGCCAGGTAGTCCTGGTAGTCCTGGTTGACCATTAATACCAGGAAAGCCTGTAGCACCTGCACATTAACAAGAAATACTTTTTTAAAAAGACCACAAAAGGATTTCAAAACAGGAAAGCCAAAATCAATTATTATAGAGCGTGAGCGGGCAAACTTTTTTCATTTAAATAACGACAGCAGCGATACTCATCACCTGCAGTAGCGTTAGTAATATGTATTTTTTCGAACGAAAATATGAATTACGTAAAACTTTCGCAGGCAACAAAAATTACTTAGAAACATAACAAGAGTAAATTTAATTTAAATTTTGAATTATTAAAAACAAAATTTAATATGATAACTTCAATATATGATAATTAAAATGTAAATTCTTTAAACAATGAAACAAAATGAAAATAAAAATTTTGAACAAAAACTCATAGACACACACATGCACATACAAATATATACAATACACACTATCATATGCATTCACAATAAGATAAATTTCAAACAGCTCATCAACTGAAGCCCCAAAATTAATGAAATTATACCAGGTGATCCAGAAGAACCAGCAATGCCCGGAAATCCAGATGATCCTCTTGAACCAACAACGCCGGTTGCGCCTGTAGATCCAGGATCACCAGGTAGTCCAGAGGCACCTATAGATCCTGGTAGACCAGGGGCACCTGTTTGACCAGCAATTCCAGTACTGCCTCTTAAACCAGCAACACCATTCACACCAATTTTTCCAGGTAAGCCTGGCTGACCTAAAGGACCTTGTGCACCATTTTGCCCTGGCAATCCCGGTGGACCCAAAAGCCCAGGAAGTCCAATAGGGCCTACAAAAAATATTGAGTTCAAAAGTAATAAAAAAGAGGACATTTAAAATGTATTATTGATTACATAAAAATTATAATTACCTGCAACACCAGGCAAACCAGAACTTCCAGGTAATCCACTTTCTCCTTGATTTCCAGAAAACCCTTTAGCACCTTGCGCACCTGGAATTCCTGGATTTCCATTCACTCCTTGAGATCCAGTGCGGCCAGTATCTCCTGTATCTCCGGGTAAACCTTGTGAACCAACAGATCCTGGAAAGCCTACATCACCAGCAGCACCTAAAATTCCTGGTTGACCTGTAGCTCCAGGTAATCCAGAAGGACCTCGAATACCTTGTTGACCTTATCAAATACATATTTTTAATATAATATTAATAAGTTATTTGTAAAACAAAACTAATTTAACTAAAATTTAACCAATTGAGCCAGTTCTTCCATTTAAACCAGGTGGTCCAACAGGTCCAATAACACCAGGTTGTCCTTTTGGACCTGTATTACCAGTGGAACCTGTGATGCCAGTAAACCCTTGACTCCCTGAAAGTCCACGAGAGCCAACTGAACCAATAGCTCCTGGCAAACCAGAAGCGCCTGGATTGCCTAGGCTCCCAGGAACACCAGGGCTGCCATTTAGTCCCGGACTGCCACTAGGTCCCGGTGAACCTAAAATTGGATAATTTGTTATGAGTAAAATGGTGAAATACATAAATTTGTGCTAACATGTTACCTGACGGTCCAGGAGATCCTGAAAATCCTGTATCACCTGGTGCTCCAGGCAAACCAGGATCACCTCTTGATCCCGCTAATCCAGACATTCCAGTTGCACCTTGAACACCTGACAATCCATTTGAACCAGGCTGACCTGGAATACCAGAAGGACCTGGAAGACCAATGGGACCTTGTAATCCAGTTTGTCCTGTGGCTCCTGTCCTGCCTTGTTGACCTCTGACTCCAGAATTACCAGGCATTCCATCAAACCCTTTAAAAATTGATAAAAAAAAATACATGTAACAAACATTCTTATTCCAAAAATGTAACTAAAACTATATAAATACATCATTAGCATGTCTTATTAAAATTTCATCAAATTTAAATAAAAAATTAAACATGCCCTGCTGTCCTGGAGTACCAGTAGATCCTGTGTTGCCTACTTCCCCTCTTATTCCAGGTAATCCCGGTGATCCAGTTGATCCAGTTGGTCCATTGAGACCAGGCAATCCCGGTTGACCGTTACCACCAGGAAGTCCTGATGGACCTTGAATTCCAACATCTCCTGTAGAACCTTTGGGACCCACATCTCCCATCACACCAGATTGGCCTGGACTGCCAGAAGATCCTTGTGGACCAATTAGTCCAATGTCACCAGGCGACCCTTTCTGTCCAGTTGCACCATAACTACCTGGACTGCCCATAGGACCTGGAGAACCGGGACTGCCCTGTAAGCCGTTTGGACCAACATACCCAGAAAAACCTATCATCAAAATTTAGCATTATTAAATCAGTTTCCGGACTAAAAATATAAATACAGAAGTACCTTGAACTCCAGTTGGACCAGTATCACCTTGAGTTCCTTTCAATCCAATTGAACCAGTAGGACCCGGTGAACCAGGTAAACCAATGCTACCAAATTGCCCCATATTGCCAGTATCACCAGGTGGGCCTTTATTTCCAGTTGATCCAGTATCTCCAAGCGAACCAGGCAGTCCATTTATTCCAGGCAAACCAGGTTGACCCACAGTACCACTATTTCCAATAGCACCTAAAAAATTGAATAATAAAATTAAACAAAATAAATTGTTTCAATTATCATAGATTGATGAACACATAAATGAATTGAGAATGCATTAATTATCTATGAAAAAATTTACACAATTTTAGCATAATTCAAATAAAAAGTTATGCTTGCATGAACAGAAAACTACAACTTCTAATTATTTCTGTAAATTTTAAATAAAATATGAAAAAATGATAAATGCAAAGTGTTAAAGATATTTATATAGCTATTTGAAAACAATTTTACTATTTTAAATTATAAAATAGTAAAATTGTTTAAATTTTTCCTTTTTTAATGCAAAAATTTTTATCCAACTAATAAATACAAATTTATTGATGACATGAATGAGAGTTGAATGTCACAGGGAAGATTCAATAATAAAAAATTAACGACTTGGTCACAAGCACTTCAGACTGTGACAACTGTTTCAAATATTTAAATAACAATTAATGTGACTTACCATTTTGTCCAGGAGAACCAATGATCCCAGACAATCCAGTGGAACCAGTAGAACCTCGAAGACCAAGGCTTCCAGTAAAACCAGGTTCACCACGGGGACCAGGTAAGCCAACATTACCGACCTGCCCAGGTTGTCCAGAAATTCCAGTATCTCCTATTCCACCTGCTGGCCCAGGTAATCCAGATAATCCATTTGATCCGGGTTGTCCATTATATCCAGTGTCACCTCTTGAACCAGGAATTCCAGGTGAGCCTGTAAAACCAATGCTACCTGGTGAACCTGATAAACCTGGATTGCCTGTGAAACCATTATCGCCAACAACTCCAGGATTTCCAATAACACCAGCAGCTCCTATAAATGATCAAACAACTTTTGCTTTTTATGATAATTTTGAAAAGAGCAAAAAACAATACAAACCTGGATTTCCCGGTAAACCATTTTGCCCTGTAATTCCAGGTGATCCTTTAGAACCTATTGGGCCTATTGACCCAGGCAATCCAGGTGTACCTGGAGAACCTGAACTACCAACTGCACCTTGATTTCCTTTTATTCCAGGTTGGCCAGGTAAACCATTATTTCCAGGATTTCCCACAGATCCAGAAATTCCTTTAGATCCAGTAGCACCAGTAGCACCAGTAAATCCTTGATAAATCAATAAATAGATTAACACTAACTGAAACCAGGAAACGCTGAAATGCGGCAATGAATAACCTGTTTGTCCTTGCTGCCCACTATCTCCTAAAGCCCCTTTTGGACCAAGATCACCTGGTTCACCAATTCTTCCAGTAGCACCAACAGGACCTGGAAATCCTGTTGCACCAATTGAACCTTGTCTTCCTGGATTTCCTGTGTGCCCTGTATCACCTCGGTCACCTTGCATGCCAGGAGGGCCTTGCAATCCAGAAAGTCCAGTTGAACCTGAATCACCTGTTCTACCTTGAAATCCTTGAAGACCAGCACTGCCTGTATCTCCAAATACTCCAGGTAAACCAGGATTTCCCAAAGACCCCTGCAATCCAGTCTCACCTTTTGGGCCTTGAAGACCTGGTAAACCTTGCTGACCTTTTCATTTATAATAACGAATTTTTGTTGATGAAAAACTTAATTAAAAATTTTTATCAATAATAAAAAACATAAACATACCAGTAGATCCAGTGGGTCCTGTGCTTCCGACTGCCCCAGGTGCACCTCGGGGACCTGAAGATCCTGGCAAACCTTGATTTCCAGGTGAACCAGGTGCTCCATTGAAACCAGTATCTCCATTTTCACCTCGACTACCAACTGTACCAGGAAACCCCTGAGATCCTGAGACTCCAACTAGTCCAATGTCTCCAGTAGCTCCTACTTGGCCATTTAATCCTGTTGCGCCTGCAAAAGTATATTAAAATTAATTTAAAGTTAATTAAATCAAAGATAATTTTATATAATTACAACATATGTCATTATTTAATGATAAAACAAATTTTCAAATGGCATCATGAAAAGTTTTTAGCTGGTTAGCATGTGTGATTTATCTCAGATATGAGTGTCCTGGAATGAGTCATTTTTCATTTTTGAGTCATTCATTTCAGTTTTTAGTATACTATAAAATTAAATTAAATAGCAGTTTTTCGCAATTTTTTAAAGCTTTCAACTTTTTTTTATTTAACTATAACAGTCAGCAACGTATGAACACTTAAAATTATCATCAGAGCTAGATGCTAGATAGGCGCTGTTTTGTTTGTTTCCTGGTTTTTCATAAAATACTTTAAAAAAGAAAAAGAAAATAAAACTTTATACTTTAATACAGTTAAAGAAAAAGGAAATAAAAAATGTTAAAACCAACCTAATCCCAGAGTCGCGTTTAAATTTTTATAAATAAAAATTTAAATCTTTACATTCAACGTGCTAGAACTTCAATAAATAAAACCAAACACGCGAGTTTCAAAAATGTTCGCGCTTATAAAAGTGAATTTTGATAACAAAAATTGATGGTTACTCTTATATATATTAAGAATGATATACGTCAGTTGAATTTTTTGTTACTAATGTTGTTATCAAAATGACGCTATGAAATGATTCTTCAAAAATTGAAAACTTTATAAAATGGTAGTTTTAGTTTGATTGAAAAAAAAATGGAAATGAAATGTTTTCTTAAGAAATAAAATCTACAATTTAAAAATATTTTAATAAAAAAATGTTTTACCTGTACTTCCAGGGTTTCCAAGACCACCCGAATTGCCAGTTGATCCAGTTGCTCCAGTGAATCCCGTGTTTCCGCGAAAACCAGATTGTCCTGGTAATCCAGATTGGCCAGGTGAACCAGGAAAACCCGTATTTCCAGCCATACCTACGTTCCCAGGAGGTCCTTGCAATCCACTGGAACCAGTAGGACCCAACAACCCAATAGCACCTGGAAAACCTGGCTGTCCATTAGGACCTGGTAGTCCTGGATTACCAGGGAGTCCAGGAGAACCATTTAGACCACGTGAACCGGCTGGCCCTGAAGGACCACTGTTACCTGGTTGCCCTATTGATCCTGGTTGGCCTATTAAACCTGTATTTATAAAATGCAATAAAACGTTTTTTTCACCGATTGATGTTCTTGTTATAAACAAGTTTCTCTATATTTTAGGGTCATTTCTATAGTAATTGAGGTAATATCCAATTAACGTTCAAGCCAAGGTCTTTTTATTAAAATATGAAAGCATTTAAATTAGCATTAAAGTGTTACGTTGGATAAAACGACAGATTCGTGATGACAATTTTTACCAGAATAGAATAGGCACCAGCCAGCAAAATCTTTACGAAACAGAGACACAGCAAAGGGGTTGGCTTAGGGACTGAAGCCGCTACAGTAGACATTTTTGTTTGGTTTAATGTTAAACTTAATAAATTTTTATAAAAGTTTTATGAATTTTTGTTCCAAATTGGAGCAAACTCTCACAAAACAGCAATGTTTTGACAAAGTTGAATAAAAAATACATACAACAGGAAAATCGTGAAAAAGTGGCTTAAACAAATCTTAGTCTCCTGCACAGAAATTTTCTGAATAGATACGTTACTCGTACGGATAAACAATGGAAGGACAGACTAGCTGATAAGAAAGAATAAATCAAGAGCGCCGAAAAAGTGGAAAATCGAAAGATAAATGGAAAAACGGCTAAAGGTACATTGATCATTAAAACATTGTTTTCTGAAAACAAACGGAATAAAATTATTATTATTATCATTTTAATGTACCTGGCACACCAGACATTCCAGTATCTCCAGCAGAACCGGGTAAACCAGTTCTTCCAGCGTCTCCAGGTGAACCAGGTCGACCGTTGTTGCCAACAGATCCAACAAATCCGACTTCTCCAGGATTTCCTTTAGGACCAGGTTGTCCCTGACTACCAGGATTTCCAGCAATTCCAGGTAGTCCAGGTTGGCCGTTAGGTCCAGGAACTCCGTTTGAGCCTCTCTGTCCTGAAATAGTTAATTATATTATTGTCCTATGCGATACTTACATTAAAATTCATAAAATAATGAAGGTTATTAAATACGAAAACAAAGTATTACATATTGTTAGCAGCATGTCAATGCAAGTGCACGTCAAAACAGTTGTACGTGAATTTTTCGTTTAGCTGCGTAAAATGAGAATTGACAAAAAATTGCTGAACAATTTGAAGGATACATTACAACTTTTGGTTCAGACGCTCATTCATTCAAGATTAAGGTACTGCAACTCTCGTTACATTCTGGCAAATATGCAATTACTTCTTTAAAGCTATTCCAACATGAATTAATCATTAAAATACTTAAGAGAAACAGACTTAGATTGGTCAAAAATTTTGTATTTCTTTAAATTGAGTTTACGCTTTTGAGATGATGAGAAATGTACATTACAAATATTCAATAATAATAAGATTATTATTGTTACCAGATGAGCCAATTAAACCAGGAACTCCACTTGATCCTGTCGAACCAGTAGCTCCAGTAAAGCCAGTTTCACCTTGCAAACCGATCACGCCTGAATTTCCTGCAGGCCCTTGATCTCCATTTATTCCTTGGATTCCAGGTTGTCCAGTATTACCTCGTGGCCCAGTGTCACCAGTAAAACCTGATGACCCAGTTTGACCTTTTAGTCCAGTGGCTCCTGTTGAACCGGTGGATCCGGGAATTCCTATGCTTCCGGTGTTCCCTCGGTTTCCAAAAACCCCAACAACTCCAGGAAATCCAATTGGTCCGGTTGCTCCTATGGGACCAGTCACTCCTGTTTGACCCGTAGCACCTGTCGATCCAGTGAAACCAGAAGGTCCTGAAACATTTACAAAAATTTGTAAAGTAATTTTAGAAAAAAATAGGCAGCTGAATCAATTTGTTAATTACCTAAATCTCCCGTTTGACCAGGTGGGCCCAAAATTCCAGTAGGTCCAACAGGTCCAATGTTACCACTACCTCCAGTATCTCCCGTATCGCCTGGAGGTCCAGGAGGCCCAGGTTCAGATTGTGCATCTGCTCCAGGTAATCCTACTGCACCAACAGGGCCTGTTGCGCCTACTTGACCTTTATTTCCAACTACTCCTTGAAATCCTTGTGGACCTTGCCTACCAGTATCTCCTACTGGACCAGTTTGACCGTTAATACCCGGTTGACCGGGATTTCCTTGAAAACCAGTAAAACCAGTTTCACCTGTATTCCCCAAAACTCCAGGGTTTCCTTTAAGTCCTGGTGATCCTTGCGCACCTAAAGATTATTTTATAAAAATTTAGATTAGAAGTAGAGCCTTATTCTAGATTTTCAGCCATCCACATGCAAATAAAAATTATAAAAATATAATAAAATGTTTGCAACAAATTTTCAATTGAAATTCAAACAGCTACATAAAACGCTAGCCGTAATTTTGTAGCAAGCAATATAAGGCCAGCCAAATTATTAACAACCTATAAAAAAATGAAATAATAATAGTAGTTCAGGGTAGTAAATTTCAGGTGAACTCTCTTCAGTTGCTGTGCAGTAGATTGAATTAAAAACGAGGTGTATAATATGATGTAACTATAGAGAAAACATAATATAATTGGTGTTGGATAGTTACACGATGTATCAAAATGTGTGTACGCTGGTTAATACAAAATATATGTGTCATTGTCGATTATATCTAATCAAGTCAAAATTTGTAATGAGACTTTAGTTTTTATTTTTTTTACTGAATGATCATTTGATCGCACCTTAAATTAATTAAATAACTTACTTATAATCTTTTATTCAACAGACCTGAAAACCCAGGAGGTCCTTGAATTCCGATAAAACCTGTATCACCAATGCCACCTTTAGATCCAGAAACACCTTGTAATCCAGGAGCTCCATTGTTTCCAGGTTGTCCTAATGATCCCGATGAACCAATGTTACCAGCTACACCGGGTTGTCCAGTCGCACCTACTTGTCCAGGCTGCCCATTTGCACCTGCAACTCCAGTAATTCCAGTAAAACCAGTGTTTCCAGTTGCGCCTGGTGTGCCAGACAAACCCTGATTTCCTTGGACACCAGGCAACCCGTTAGGACCATAGAGACCAGTTGAACCAGGTGATCCTTGAAATATTTATAAAATTTTATTTAAATATTTTTTCATAAACCAAAAAATTAAAAGAATTCACAACCAACATAATTTTGTTTTTTCTATATGTGCGTAAAAAGTTAACCTGGCGATCCTGAACTTCCAGTAAAACCTCTGTTCCCTCTGGGACCCTGTGAGCCTGGAAGACCAATCGATCCAGGTGAGCCCATTGTTCCTGAATCTCCTGCAATTCCTTGATCTCCTTTTGAACCTTCTAATCCAGTATTACCTGTAAACCCAGTAGCGCCTGTGTTACCGGGAAATCCAGAAATTCCATTTACTCCAGTTGGGCCTTGTAATCCAGTTGAGCCTAAAAATTTTAATATATTAAAAGCCTTTTTTTTTTGTGATTTATAAATTTGCAACAAACCTGTAAAACCAATTGGCCCTTCTAATCCTTGAGTTCCAGGTGATCCAAGAAAACCCTTGGGACCTTGTGGGCCAGTCTGTCCCGGTTGGCCTGGTAACCCCACATTTCCAATAACCCCGGAAGGTCCTGTAGCTCCCGTATCTCCCTGACTTCCTTTATTACCTTGATTGCCTAACAAGCCATTAGCACCTGCTGATCCAGTAGCTCCAGAAGGTCCTAAATTTCCTAAAAGTCCTGGTACTCCGTTTAGACCTGGCTGGCCAGAAAATCCAATACCTCCCATAAAACCGGTATTGCCCTGCAAACCTGTTGAACCGGTGGAACCAGTTGCTCCAGTAAAACCGGAGGAACCTTAGAAATTATATAAAATGTAAGCAAATATGTATAAACTATAAATTTTACTATTTTTTGCAAACCTAGGTTGCCAACTATCCCAGTTGAACCAGTATTTCCAGTATAACCAGTAGGACCTGGCTGGCCAAAATTTCCCAAAGGCCCAGGTAGGCCAGGTTGGCCTGGAAAGCCACTGTCTCCTTGAACACCTTTATTGCCTGTTGTACCTGGTAGTCCAGATGAACCAGGTTGACCAGAGACTCCCGGAATGCCAGTCGGCCCAGATGCACCTGGAGCCCCTTGAACACCAGATAAACCTACATTTCCAGGCAAACCTGGTTGACCAGGTGTTCCAACGTTTCCTGGCAAACCTATTAATCCAGTAGGCCCAAACAAACCTCTGTTTCCAGTATCACCGGGCTCCCCTTTTTGACCTTGAGGTCCTTGCAACCCTAGTAGATAGGAAAAACTTAATTATTTTTTGATAAACATTTTTAAATGCTACTGAAAATTTTGTTAAATTATTGAATAAGCAAACCCATATCTCCAGGCAAGCCCAAAGGCCCAGGTAAACCGGTATCTCCGGGTAATCCAGGTTGACCAGAATATCCAATAGATCCAGTTGGTCCAGCAGGACCTAAAACACCTGGACTTCCATTCACACCTTGAAAACCTTGAAGTCCAGGACTACCAGGTGGTCCAGGATTTCCCGTTGACCCTTTAAATCCTGTGGAACCAATTGAACCTTGGTTACCTGGAACGCCTAAAACACCTTTAAAACCAACCATGCCCGGAAAACCGGTGGGCCCAAGTGAACCTAATGGTCCTGTGGCACCTGGTGAGCCACTAGGTCCAGGATTGCCCGCATTTCCGGGTAAACCGGTTAATCCCATTGTTCCGGTATCTCCAGTGTTTCCTGGAACTCCGGAAAGGCCAATAGATCCAGGCAAACCAGCTTTTCCAGTACTTCCTGAATTTCCTATTAATAATAAAAAAATCTTTATATATTTCTAATACAAAACTGAATTACTAAAATGAAAAATTAAACTATTTTAAATGTGAAGACCTTTTCCTCCTATAATTCCTGGTTGACCAGGAGAACCAGTATCTCCTCTACTTCCAGGAGCTCCATTAGGACCTTGAGGACCTACTGGACCAGGCAAACCTATGTTTCCAGGTGAGCCAGATAATCCAGAAGAACCCTGAAGACCAGGCAACCCTGAATTACCCGTGTTACCAGGTGACCCTTGCCTACCTGGATTTCCTGTTGTTCCTGATAATCCGGACGACCCTGGTGAGCCAGTGTTTCCAGGAAACCCTAAAAGTAAATTAAACAAATTTTATTATTCCATTTATATTATAGTTATATTATAGTTATAGTTGCTCCAATAATTTTCTTCGTGAAAATCTACAAGAAACAATTTTAAGATGCAATAATCATTTGAAAAAACGCTTAATTAAGATGTCAATATTCAAATGAAAAAATATATACATTCAAAATAATTGTGGAGCCCAAATCATGCAAATTTTGTTTAAATGTCATAAATAATTTAACAAAAATGTTATTATCGTTACTTTGACAAAATTAACAAATACAAACAATACTCTAAAATTTGTTACCTGAGGGTCCTTGAAGTCCCGGTTGACCAGTAGCACCACTTGAGCCACTATCTCCAGTAAATCCTTTGAATCCAGAAAATCCTGGTAATCCTTGAATTCCAGGATTTCCTGTTGCTCCAGTGTATCCAGTATCACCTTGTTTGCCAGTTAAACCCAATGGACCAGGTGGGCCACTTGAACCCTGGTTACCGACAAATCCTGTAGAACCAGAATCACCTTTTATTCCTGACGGCCCTGGCAGTCCAGGTATACCAGAAATACCGGGACTACCCGGTGAACCGGGAAATCCGGGAAAACCAGTCGATCCTGTATAACCTGGAGGTCCATTGACTCCCGCTGAACCTGTATTTCCTTGTGGTCCTTTAAATTTAAGATGCATATTTTTATTCCATTTAAATTCATTTGCCAAAAAATTATTTACCTATAGCTCCAGGCTGCCCCGTAGGGCCTATCGGTCCAATGCTACCGTTTAAACCAGTTGAACCTGTTTGACCAGTAGATCCAGGAGGTCCGGCATTTCCAGCAAGTCCTGGAGCCCCCGGATATCCAACCAATCCAACATTTCCAGGTGTTCCTGGAGAACCAATACCTCCAGGTAATCCATTGAATCCAGGTGATCCAGCTGGTCCAGAACTTCCCAATGAACCGGACAGACCAGGTAACCCTTAAAATTTTAAAAATTGAATTGTAAAACAAACTTTTATTTTTATTGAAGTAATTTCAATGTGAAAAATTTAACCTGTGTTTCCTGTATTTCCTGGCAATCCTATCGGACCGAAATTTCCTTGTAAACCAGGAAATCCTGTATTTCCAGTAGCACCTGTATAACCAGTAGACCCAACGCCACCTTGCAGGCCAACTGGACCAAGAGGTCCATTTTGACCGTTAGCTCCTGGAAAACCTGGGTCTCCTACATGAAAATATCATGATAAAAATCTATTATTGGGCAAAGTAGTAGTTGAAAGTTTACAAAAATAATAATTTTTATCAATTTTGAATGTTTACAAATACTAAACGACTTAAAATGCAAACAAGAGACGGTTCGTAAACGCATAAAACAAATTGAAATATGTATTTTGTGACATTGTTTTTCATTATTGGTGGTAATATAAAACTTCAATACAACCTTTTTCTCCATTACGCCCAATAGGTCCAATATTTCCGGGTGAGCCAATAGGACCAGTTAGTCCGGTAGCGCCCGTATTTGCAGGAGGCCCTGGAAGACCAGGAAGGCCAGGATTACCAGATAATCCTGGAGATCCTTGAGCACCTGTTGCTCCCATTGGTCCTGGAAATCCTGATGTCCCTTGCGGACCAGCAGCACCCGCATTTCCTTTATTACCCTGTAAACCAATAGGTCCAGTTTGACCTGGTAACCCAATATAACCTTGTGTACCTTGTGGTCCTGGCAAACCTGGATTACCCGGGTAGCCTGTACCTCCTGTTGAACCCGGGGAACCAATATTACCTGAAAAACCTTGGGGTCCTCTATATCCTGTTGAACCAGTAAATCCCTGTACACCCGGATTGCCGGGAAGCCCAGGTTGTCCCGTCAAACCAGGTTGTCCTGGATATCCATCATAGCCAGGTGATCCATTTTGACCCGGTTGACCTGGTGGACCCTGTGGACCAGAAAATCCAGTGTCACCCATCAAACCAGGCTGTCCTGCAGGCCCTTGTGCTCCATTTTGGCCAGGATTTCCCACTTGTCCAGCTGGTCCAGGTGGCCCCGCCTGACCTTAAACCAAAATAATATTTTTAAAATAAGAATAAAAATACGATATACTCGTAAATGGTTAACCTGCAGTTCCTGGAGGACCTGGTTGTCCAGAAAGTCCTTGATAACCTGAAAAGCCAGTTGCACCAGCTAATCCTGTAGCTCCGTTAGCACCTGGTGCTCCAACAAATCCTGAAGAGCCAGGTAATCCAGTTGCGCCAGGCTTACCTGGATTGCCTGATATGTCCCATTTTAGCAAAAACTTACGTAAATTTTTCACGCCAAAAATATTATTTGAAAAATCGTACTCAATATGAAAATAATAAGCGAACTAAATTAAAATTTGATATTTACATTAAAACTTACCTTGTATGGCTTTGTTAATACAAATGGCAGTTGTCAGGTCGTGCAGTTTCTGAGCCAGCTGAGAATAACTTGTTACCTTCAATTTATCAACTTCTTCAGGGTTTGTAACTAGTTCCTTCATTATTATCAGACCGATATCGTTCACGGGATTTGGGTTATTGGAGACCAGCACTCCATGTATCTCAATACCGAGATTTTTTAAGAAATTGCTTTGAATGATTGTTTCAGTTGGGTAGTCAGACTGGCCATCTGATATTAAAACCAGAACTTTTTTTGATCTTGGACTGTAAGATTTCTGTTTTTATTTTCCAAAATATATTTTATATTTTAAATTTTTTGAATGGGATAATTATTTTTAGATTACCTGGAAAATGTCGTTTAAAACAGTCTGCAACGCTTTTAATATAAACGTCGACCCATCCAATTTATTTATACTCAATATGTTGCTGACGATATCATCAACTTTTTTATAACGAGTCAAGTCGAAATTGATTTGAGCATCGGTGGCAAATGTGACGCATGCAATCCTTGTTGTATTGGTAATATTCATATTCACAACAACGCTGGCGGTAAAGTTTTTCAGGTATACCCAGTCTTCATTCTTTATACTGGAACTTGCATCCAATAGAAATACAACATCCAGGGGCTGCTGACAGTCTTGGTGAATTTAAAGTTTGATTATTTCAATCGGAGTTTGAAAAAAATTATTTCAGTTTGACAATTTGTGAAATATAATTAGCGAATCGAATTTAAGTTGTAGGTAGGTGCAAATTTGTAATTACATCTCAACCAATATTAATTAAAAATGATTGATTTGCAAATAAATTTTGTGATGTAAAACAGTTCAAATCAAATAGCATTTCTTAAAAAATTAAACAAATTTCATGTATCATTCTAACTCAACAGCTAGAAGGAAAAACGATAAGTGTTCAATAGTGACGAATTGAATGTTTGAAAAGTAAGTGGGGAGTCTGTGTGTGTGCGTGTGCGTGTGTGTGTGTGTATACGCATGCGTGTGTGCTTGTTTGTTACTTAAAAACTGTGATTAATTAGTAGAACAAAAGGTCTAATCACTCGCGATGAAAAGTTAAAATAACAATTCTTACTGATCGTAGATTGACCATCTGCCCGAGATAAAATTGAAAGAAAAACTATTAAAAAATGTAATTTCCATTTAAAAAAAAACGCAGTTTCTTTCTTCCTAAAACGTTCCAGAAAATCCATGCTTCGATTTTTAGAAGGTGCTATTGAAAAAAAGTAATATCGATGTTAATTTTTTTTGTAATGACCGGCTATAAAAATTTTTAAAATAACCAAATTTTCAGGGAAAAAAAACCAGATGTACGACATTTAAAAAAATTTACCCAATAAAACATTGAAAACTTTAACGGAAAGTTCAATAAAAAAATTAAAAAAAATGTTATGAGGTTAAAAAAATATTAAAGGCTAACAATTTGACTAACTAAAACCATTCATTTTATTCATTTGTTCGTTCATTCGTTCTTTTAATTCATGGATCATTCATGCGCTCATTCATTCACTCAATCATTCATTCACTCATTCATTCACTCATTCATTCACTCATTCATTCACTCATTCATTCACTCATTCATTCACTCATTCATTCACTCATTCATTCACTCATTCATTCACTCATTCATTCACTCATTCATTTACTCATTCATTCACTCATTCATTCACTCATTCATTCACTCATTCATTCTTTTACTCATTTATTCTTGTCTATTTTAAATAAAAAATTGGTACACAAGAAAATAAATACTAGCCAATTCGCTGATCTGTCCTTCATAAATCTAAACTGAAATTATTAAATAAATAAAAATATATCTAATATAATAAAATTTTGAATAAAAATAAATAATCAAATTATAATAATAATAATAATATAAAAATATATAATAATATTGAAGAAAATTATAGTCACACGCATTAAAAAAACCATTTTCATCAAAACGTCGTCTCCATAAACTTAATGGATACAGTGAAATGACTCGCCTACTTGAGGAGACCACTAACCTTAACTATACATAGACGTAGATTCAAACTGTTAAATTAATCACACACACTTACACACACACTCACACACACACATAATATTTACAGACACACACACACACACACGCATGCAAATAAATAAAAATTCTAATATATAAAGATTTGAATCTATCAATAAATGAAGGAAAATAATTTTTTTCTTAGATAGGAATAAATGAACGAATGAATGAAGGAACGAACAAATGAATGAATGACCACCAAAGTCGGAGAAACAATATATTTACAGTTAAGATAAATCATCTCAATTCAAAATAAATCATTTAATTTGAAGAATATCAAAATCTGGCTCGTACACACAGATGCGCACACACACACACATATATATATATATATATACATGTATTTGTATGTATATATATATACATATATATATATAATATAAGTAATTACATCTTCATTTATATCAATAAATGACTAAACTGACTGCCATGATTAATTGTTATACCATAAGTCATTATTATTAATTAATTAACTCGTAACTTAGGCGCATAGGTTTCTACAGACACACATACACACACACGCACGCACACACATATATACACACACATACACATATATATATATACACACACACATGTAGACACATATATGCCAAGGTTTATTTGTCAAATGATTCGCATGACCCGAACTTAACGCGTTTCAACGCTAACTCAAGCCAATGTAGTTTCGTTTGAAGCAGTGATTTTGTGGTGTTTGTGGCAGCACTTCTTTGCTGTTTCTATAGAAATAGGTTTTACTTCTTATTAACATTTTCGCTTAAAACGTTTCCACACACACACACACACACACAAACAGAGAGAGAGAAATAGAAAGAGAGAGAGAGAGAGAGAGAGAGAGGAGAGTAAGATACAGACTTATAGAATTTAAAAGTGTATGTGTGTGCATGTGTACATTTTTGACGTTCATGCATGTTGTGCGGTTGTATGAAAAAAATAAATGAAAGGAAGAAAAGACATCCAGACAGACAAACAGACAGACAGACAGAGAAAGTTGTCTGGCTTACAGTACGTTCAGCCTAGCGAAGCATCGTGCCGTCGAGTTGGAATATTTATTCACCGTTAAAATGACCTTTAAAGATTAAACATACATATGTATTCAAGAATTTATTAATAAAGGTTTAATCATATCAATGTAGACTTAACACAAATAGTTCATTTTACGTAATACGTTGTACTTGCACTAAAAAATCTTCAGGCAAATCAATATACTATGAATCAATAAATGATGTTTCATGAAATTTCACATAACCGAAATAAAACAACAACGGTTTCAAAATCTCAAAATCTACCTTTTCATTGGCCAAATTATGTGATATAAACTTCCTTTTAAGTTTTAGCAAGCTGTAAATTAGTCCTTTATCTATATATATTTCGTATTGTGATGGCTGTACAAGGCACAGCTACAGAACTGCCAGAAGAATGAGAATTGTTAGGAATAAAAATATCTGAATCGTTAACAAGCAGAGCAGCATGAATGTGATGTCAATCCCACTTAATGCTTGACCATTTCCAGTTATTGTTTGTCGATTCGTGGTTGTTGTTGTTGCTGCTGCTGTATCCAATCCAAGACCTCAAAATAATAACGATAAAATGATAACAAAATGATGGCAAACTGATGACAAAATGATGTAATGATGAAAATATTTTAACTGATTAAACAGTGTAAACGTTTAAGTTATAAACAGTAGTTTAAAATTTATGTTTAAACCTATCAGTAAACTAATTAGAAACATTTCAACATGTTTAGGTCACGTTTATTAATTAGCCATACAACTTCAACCAAATTTTTTACTACTATACGTTTTAATTACCCTTAGAACACAAATTAAAACAATTAAATGCTAAAATATTAATCATAACAATCTTAATGACACCATTAATGATACCATTTAATATTAATTCGTTTTACCGTACAATCACCTAAAGACATAATTAAAAAGCATAATTAAACAATTATATTATTGTATATTAATTACAACAAACTTCCTAACCATAGCCAATTAATCTGGTTGAAATATTTAAATTCTAAACTTTAGATCAAGTTTGTCGCGGTCCAAAGTAACCAATCAGCCAACAACAGCCAAACACATGCAATCCCCGATTCGTGCTTCCATCATTGTCGAGCGAGTCTATATTTATATTACTATTATTATATTACTCTATATTTATTATATATATATATATACATATTTAATATCAATGTGAGCAGCAATTGCTTTAAATACAAATGATATATCTTTGTATATCCTACATTATGTAGTTTATGTATGTAGGTATGTGTATATATGTATATAGACATATATACACATGTATATAGGTTATATATATGTATATGTATGTTGATATGTGTATATATGTATATAGAAATATTTAGACATGTATATAGGTATGTATATAGGTATGTATATATATATATATATATATATATATATATATATGGATGTGTTTGTATGCATGTATGTATATGCATGTATGTATATGTATGTATCTATATGTATTTATGATTGAAGTAAAGCATATTGTTTGCTGCTACTGTTGGCAAGCGTACTCGCTAAAAAGAATTATA